TATCGGATCATTTATCTCACATTACAAACAACATCCATATAATAAATAATTCATGTAGGATACTAAATACTAAGTACACCATCTTTCAATAAGGACCAATTCACTTTAAACAAAACCTAGTTTTAGCTCAGTTGCATACAGTCTTACATATACCACTTCATAGGAAGCAATATGGTTGTGTGACATAATTGGTGATCAAACCCAAGACCAGGCTTGTTGTGCTAGTGTCCCAAAAAAGTTTAAAAATACAAAACTGCAAGTTAGTCTAAAAATAGTCTTAAAAATAAATAAAACAGAAGAAGACATGTAATGCATGCTACTGTTACAGTTAATATTTGTTATTTCATTATTTTTTTTACGTATTTCTTTTATTTAAACTCCATTCCTTGTCTCAAAACAAAAGAGTGAGTTTAGAGATTTATCAGTGCTAGTTCTAGCCGGTTGAGGGTCATGCATAGCACTCAAATAATAATCACTAATTTACACAATCTATGACATCAAATGTATACTAAAAATTACTATATTTCCTCTTATTTCAAAATTATGTCAGGAATGCAAAGTGTTGCACATAAAGAATATACTTCAAACGCTGACACTTACATAACGAAATGTCTAAATCCTAATGTTTTATAATTAATATTATTTTTGATGTATTTAAGTAATTTAGTATGCAAATATGAAAATGAATTTGCACATTTTAACATTTATGAGGTTTTGGTGATTTTTGTTATGTTTTTTTTTTGTAATTCAAATTTTAAAGGTCGATTTTAAAATGTTGTGTCAAGCACAATGACAAATTGATTATAAGCTGAATAATAATAATAATAATAATAATAATAATAATAATAATAATAATAATAATAATAATAATAATGATAATAATAATAATAATAATAATTAATTAATGGAAATCACAAACTTGTAAGTTTCTGTTTGTCTTAAAACTATATAGATACGCAAGAATATTAACTTAGCTCATAATTTTGAAATTTCCCTTTAAATATTGAATGTCTTCGCCAAGATGAAACGATAGACATGTCGCTTTAAGATCTTTTGCGAGGAAATCGTTGATATGCGTTAAACATTTAGCTCTAATAATATTACAAATCTGACCTTCTTTCATTTACTTCCGGATGTTCCGAACATTGTAAGTACGTTAGTCACGATGTAATATGATTGTTGTTTTTGCAATTGTAACATTTATAAAAAAAATTAACACACATTTTTTTTTGAAAGAAAGAAAAAAGCATTATCGTCTGTGTGTAAAAGTCATAGAGTAGCAAGTCGAGTGTTTGTATTTTGACATTTGCTGTTTAATACATGTGGTTATACGTGGTGTTAAGGTTTTAGTGTGTGTTATAATTAAACTTTTACAACAATGACCTATAAATGGTATTTAAAACAGATACGTGTCCAAAAATACAGTCCTAGATCTATATGTAAAATACCGAAAGAAATAATAATAGCAAAAAAGCAACCACCAAGCGACGTTCGCCACATTCTTGAAAAGTTCCTATCAAAAAAAATATATATATACGATCATTAAAATAACAACAAAAACAAAACAAAAAACAAAAATTCCAGACAAAACAGCAAACAAACACCATTTATGTAATAGTGTATCCAGAAAATTAATAATTACAGCAAATGACTATCAAACTTACTACAATATCCTAAAATAGCAGACGACAAAAATGACAAATTTAACGACAACCTTAACGCGTTAGACTTTACCTGCTATAATTCTTAAAGGGACTTGTCCAGTTTCCAATTTTTGGAACTTTCCTTATAAATTTTTAGGGATATGAAAATGAAATATTAAAGCTGTGGTGGTGGTTTTGGTAGTTTTCACTTCAGTAAGCCACATTGAATTTACCAGAGCACAATTCTGCCACCACATCCTTCCTGGATAGGCTGTCAAGCAGTTTACCAGTACTAGTTACCTTCACTTTTGCAAGGAACTGATTACTTCTGTACATACTAGAGCAGAGGTACATTGCGAATGACCGTAGAAAGGTTTTCATGATCAATCACCGCGAACCAGGGTCGCCCGATTCACAGTCCAGCGCTTTACCTATTGAACTAACAGGACGGATTTAAAGCTATGCAGTCGAAGGTTTATTTATAACATAGTCAAACTACACGGACTCGTAAGCGACCCTGGTTCTATACAGGTGGAAAAGGCTTATTAACTAATTTGGGTTTCAGGGTTTGGGTTCAAGCACTGGAAGGCGTTAAGTTAGAAAATATCCACGACATAAGAAATATCGATCATCATTATAAAAAAAAAGAATCTTTCAAATTCATCACAGTCATGAAATTGACTTAAATGCCCTAAACACACAGTTGACAATTATCATTAAAAAGCATTTCAAACACTTTTATTTTTTCCGTGATGCATATGCATTCTGTACAGCAGTAAAAAAATCTTCTAAATAATGACGCATGTCGAAAAAATTGTATACATTTATAAAAAAATAGGAAAATTAGACAAAATGCATTGGCATTTTATTTGCAATATTTAACATTAGTGTATGCTCTATGATTAATGACTTAAATGTATGATTAAGTTGATAATTCGAGAAGAAAGTTAAAACCGCCCAAAAAATAATCGACCGTAACAAGTAACTTGATGTAATGTTATTACATTTTCATTTTTAAGAGTGCATGCAAGGCTGTCGGTGCATGTGTGTGTATTAAACTGTATTTCGGTATTTGGAGTTTCATTATGGTAAATACTTAACGCATTCAATATTATAAAAGTTTCATTGTTATTTGTTTTTGTTATTTGATAAGGCGTTGGTAAATAAATAAATGAATAAATAAATAAATAAATAAATAATAAATAAATAAATAAATAAATAAATAAATAAATAAATAAATAAATAAATAAATAAATAAATAAATAAATAAATAAATAAATAAATGAATAAATAAATAAATTATATTTTGCCAATGATTAGCTGTTGGGTTTACAGTATGAATTTGCGTCACTCTGTTCATATAAAAAACCAAGACATTTAAAATTTTCTTATCTAAGTTTTTATGTGATGTGTATCTTCATATTCTAAGAGCCAGTCATAATTTGTTTTTTTTCGTAAATGATTCTTGAATGCTTTTCAGATTTAAAGAACTATATCCCCCTAAATGTGTCTTTGCTATTTTTCTTTTTATTTCATAGATATCTAGTTAATGCTATACTTGCTTCTAATGTATGTTTAATACAAATGGCATTTACGAGCATCCGATCCGGCAAAATCTTCCAGCCATACAAGTATTCTGAACACTTTTCCTTGACTACAATGCAGGGACATTTACTTTTCTAGTATTCGTATATTGACAGAAAGCACACTACAGCTAAAAGTGTGTGTGTGTTGGGGGGGGGGGGGGGGGGGTGAAAGGTGCAAGAAGTTAAATTTCACATAAAATCACAAGTAAATGTAGAAGATTTCATAGCGAATTTCGTTCAAAAAGAAGTGAAATTTCACAGTGTAGCAATTGTTATTTAAAAATGGAATTTTCGACTTTTGTTAAAACGTGCTCAATAAGGACGATTTATGCTTTTAAAACAGTGATTACTTTTTTAAAGCAAGGCCTTCGGATGAATTGATAGAAAAGAACATATTCTAGAACCGAGACCAATATTCAAAGTTAGCAAGCTATTTTATTATGAATATAATTATTGGCAACATAATGACCTTTTTACCCTTCTTAATATTATAGAAATTGTTTGACTGACTGATTAACATTTCTGTGAGCGTTCTCAGAAGCCTTTGCACACAGCCTGGTACCAGACATATTGCCGAGTACCTTAGAGTCGTGTCATGTACCAAACTGTTTGACAGTTTCCATTTGTGTTTTTTTTGCAGCTCTTAGAGCAATTCGAAAAGTTCAAAACTGCAGCAGACGACAGTTCTAGCAGACGACAGTTCTAGCAGACGACAGTCTAAGCAGACGACATTTTTATTTAAGCATGCAAAGGGTTTAAATTCTTGTAGTGATATTGCTTCGATAAAGATATAAGATTATTTCTGAAAGTTGATGGTATATGTGCATGTATATGACAATTCGTGTCCGATATTATTATACATGGGTGGGGGGGGGGAGCAAAAAGTGTTCCACTTTTAAAATATAGGAGTTGGGTCGCATTGTAGCATTACTGCAGCTGCTTGTTATAACATTAAAATATATTTATAATAGTAATATGCTGTTAAGTTTCATTTGTGTGACGGGATATTCTTAGACATTTTAAAGAATCAGGAAATATTCTTTAACATTTTAGTGTACGAAGGTGATATTTTCAGACATTTTAGTGGACGAAGGACATATTCTTAGACGTTTTTGTCTACGAGGGAGATATTCTTAGACATTTTAATAAGTAAGGGACATTCGCAGACAAATTAGTGAGTTATTGAGGGGATGTAAATTATAAAAAGCAAGTTTTTTCTATTTTTGTTTGTAGAAATATTCTACGTTTTGGTAACTATGATGTAATTTTCCCTTCACATACCACAAATAAATATATATATGGTCAAATCAAATATTGACGGACAACATCGTCGATAGCATGTGCACGTTATAAGCGTTCAAGAATCAGCACGTGAAAAGGGCGTGCATTATTTATTATAATTCTGTTCGAGGTTTCCTAAAACTAAACGTGAAAACTTTGCATGGTTAAATAAACTTGTTAAATTGTGAACTCCATAAAATGGAAATCATATAACAAAAATCACATTAAATTTGTACGAATTGAAATCACCTTCGTATTCAATGTTTCATAATTCTTTGAAAAATAAAACATAATCGATATTGTTTAAAAAAACAAATGTTAAAATGCAAAATAACATGACAAAAACACATTTGATTAATAAATCACTTTTGAACGATTTATTTTTCGGACCATTGCATATCTTCTTCAAAATTGTGTAAGAGTTTGTTAGTACATTAATTCACTGTATATATTTCAATTAAAGTCGACTTTCATTGTTTTACATTTGTAGAATAGCCAAGGGGGACATCAGCGAAGCGGACAAAACAATTATCTGATCAAACCTGATTGTTTTCGACGTATGGACTGTTAAACACAAAATAAACATGTCATTGATTGTCGAAAATCTCACAGCAACTGAAACCAGTCTAGTGTTACAGTCGAGGACTGTTTTTGATAGCGGAGACTGGTTATTGAATGCCACCAGAGTTATAGAACCCGACAAGAATTTGAAAATAAACGAAACGAACGGAAAGCTATTAGCAGACGACACAAATTTTATATCTACATTTTCAAATACAGTGTTAAAATCTACAACAGATATTGCTCAAAATCTACAATACCAAACTACAAAGACATTTGCAATAGAAATTAATTCTCCACCGGAAGTGACAATTCGTAGACCGGTAGTGCTTTCGGACAGTGAAAGTTTCGGGACAGCGGAAAAAGTTGTTGTCGGGGCCGCTGTGATTGTTGCTATTTTAGCTATTACTGCGATATTATTAAGGATACTAGGACCTTATTTTCGATCTAAAAAGACTGAGAAAGAAAACGAAACAGAGAAAATAAATAATCCCGACCTGTTTATCCCTAAATTAAGGTAAGCTTTACTTTAAGGTGAAATATTATTTCATAATGTCAGTAACAAAATCAATTTGAGACTTAATTTAAATTATTTTTTTTAAAGAATGTTATTTTTTATATATTTTACAAAAAGTTAAAATTGTATATATTGTGGTTTGATGCATTTTGATCAGTCTTGTAAAAGTGATAAAGGTTTTTTTTATCGACAGGTGGCCTTTAAAAGCAAGTTATGCCGATAAATGCTAAACATTACATCAATGTGCCCGTTCTTTACATATGTAAATGTATGTAGTAGAAAAGTTTGTTGACTTCTAAAAGGTTTACATTTTCATAAATTTGGAAACGCCCGTTAACTTATTTTTAAAGACATTATGTTTAGTAGGCTAAAATTTGCATGAAATCCATTCATCTTAAACGCAATGTTATATGCAAAACTATAAGTTTTGTTTACAAAATGATAATGAGTTATTTAATGAAGGTGAAACTTCAAGCAATAGCACGTCGCACAATAAAGTACTTCCTGTACAGTTTTCTTATTGATATGGTTTCCTGTTCGTATGTGTCAATCGGAACGTCCTCGGCTATTATTCATAATCCGAAGACTGACGGAAAGGGCCGAAAAGTTGCGATAACGTATTTGTTAACACTGCACGGAAAGCTGGTTTTGTGAAAAAAAATGTGTAGATTATAACAAAAAAAAAAAAAAAAAAAAAAAAGAAAAAACCCAACATTTTTGGGCCAGTTTACAATAGACTAGGAGTCGCGACCTATCCTAAAAAAACCAACCCTTTTCAACCATTTAAGCTGCCTGGAATCGGTAGAATTTGTATGGTTTGAAACATAAAGGGAGAGGAGGGGAGAGGGGTGGATGTCTATCTGCGAAATTATTGCTAAAGAGATACTAATCAATCTTGCTTATTTTCAAATGAATGTTTTCTTTTCTTTTTTGGTAGAAGGGGCAGTTTGCTATAGATATTTCCAAATATTATCAATGCATAAAACAAACCCAGCCCGACTGTACTATTAACTGGAAATAACGATGGTACTGTATGCAAGTAAAGGCTGGACATAATGTAATAGCTGTAATAAGTGGTCACTAAAACTATTCAATAATTGCTTGCTTTAAGTTCAAGGCATTAAAAACAAAAGTCAAACGGTATGTTAGAATTAGAAATATTTTGAGACATATTTGGTTTTTGTGACCACACATATTTGGCTTTCAACACTTGTTTTCCTTAAAAATCATGTAATTTTATTGTACTAATGTATACAAGCAGAACAACGACAAAACATTCCAAATATTATTTCATTGTATAGTGTACAAAGAAAAAAAACCAGGCAAAATGACAAAATACTGAGGACCTTATTCTATTTGTCTAACGCAGTTATGCCTGACACTTACTTTACGAGAAAATATTGGTTTTAGAAAACTCTAAAAATGAAAATCAGATAGCCATGTTGGTTCATTTATGTAATAACTATACATATTTAATTGTTTATAAAGTCGCTTTATTTTCCTTTTGCTACCTTTGCCTATTTCCCCTGTGCAATGAAGTTGACCATTTCATACAAAATGAAATCCAATAATTTTAATGCATTTGATTATAATGGGCAATAAATTTGTTATAATAATGATATACAAATCTTTAATGACTTTGTAGGAATTTAAGTACAAGAAAGGCAACGCCTTACACCGATTTCGTAATAAAAATCAACAGTATCTCATTTCTAAAATGTTACTTTTCACCTATAAATGACAGAAATAAGTATCGTCTGCTAACCACATATTTCACCTGTTGTAAATGACAAAATTTATGACGTATAATACACGTTTTTATGGTTGTTTTCATGTAACTCCCATATCACTGAACGCTATGAAATATAAATATGTGTTTTAAAACAGGCCTGCAATGATGAGGGGGTGTTGGGTTTGGGTGGGTATTGTTGGTCAAAACAAGTTTGGCACGGTTTGTAACGTAAAGGGTTTCTTAAAAAGCGAATAATTCTTACAGATTTATATTCTTATATTACTTTGAATGTGAATATTAATACTCGATAAGAATATATAGTATTTCCTCGTTGAGGTTATATAATAAAAACGAATCCATTTCATTTACTCATGACGGCAAAATACAAATACTTATTATATTATATTTATTATTCTATTTATAACATTAATATGATATGATATGATATACAATAGTTAAAACATTAAGCATTTTATTTTAAGAACATGTATGTTTTAGTGATCATGAAGACCATAATTACGATTGTTATCGCAAACGAAAAGCGAAAAAGATAATTTAGCACAACAATAAATATTATTTCATCAATTCATTTCTCATTCATACAAGTTTTGTTTTATTCATTAATAAAGATCTATAAGGTGTGGAAAACTGAAAATTCACATTAACCAGGTTTATTATCCCTCTAAGCAATTAAGAGCAAAGCATTGTCTGTGTCGAAAACCTGGGAAGATAACCGCAATAATATAAAATCATTTTTTTCCCATTTCGTTTCATTTCCGTGTCTTTCGTGTATTAAAACAGCTCGGTTTGCATATACATATCGTCGCCTCAGTGCAACAACGGAAAAAGTCCTTCAAAATTTAGTAGCAGGTTATCAGTTGTTGCACTTAGGTGACACATAAAATGCCATTATATGAATAAAACATTCAGGTGCAGACGACAAGATCAGAGGGAAAGGATGTGGTCTGCACGATTCACTTCTTGCAGCAAAGTTGTTTTAAGTCTATTTTTGCATCTTCTTATTCAAAGTAGCATTTAAAGGCCATTTTAGACGTACAATTTCTTATTCTTCAATCTTTAAAATCTTTCAAGCTTTTTATTTTTGTACCTTGCTATAATTTCAAGGCCATATAGATGAGTCACCTCTTGCCTCTTCTGCCTTTTGGTTATTAGTTACAATGATCTGGCATTAAGTTTATAATTTTTTTTATTATAAAAAATGACTTTGTTTACGTTTTGCTTCCATTATCACAAATCATTTTACAGTCATCGCTATTCCCCCAAGTGGTAAGCTTTAAAAAGCTTTCATTAACCCGTATTAGTTCCCGGCATTGGTCTCCCTTCACATTATTTTCATTCTGTCCGAAAGGGAACCACCTTATAACATATTTATGTGTATTTGAGTTTTTTTAATAGCCGCCACCGGTTGCCCATATTGAAGAGTATTAGTCGTTGTATGTTTGGGAGGATAATGCAAAATACATAATACAAAGTCTCATTTAAAAGTATTTAAAAGGTTTTTTACTTGGCCATTCTGGGAATCGAACCCACAATGTCGAGATTACAAGTGTCGCGCTCTTACCAGATGAGACATGCGGGAAGGCACTTTTTGAAATATACACCCAACTCTCCCTTTTTACAATCGTTTTAACGAAAATGCCACAGTACTAAAACAGATAGATAGATAGATTCTTTATTACCTCCATCATAGGAGAGCAGCATTAAGTCTTAGTGATTATCAACGGACAAATAAAAACATTTGGTTTGGAAATAACAAAATGGCATACTTGTGTTTACACTACGTTAACTTAATTTACACGTTTTGAAAACCACATCAAATGTTTTAAAGATTAAGTATGTAAAAAGTTTCATTCCGATTTATTATACTCAATTAAAGAAAGTTTGAATTCATGCCTTTAAAAGATTGGTGGTAAGTAATGTTTTTAACATACAAGGAAAACATACCGATTTGAACCTTAATTAATGTACCCGACAATGAAATTAATCTACCCCCGACCTCAATACATATGCAGGCCAATTGTAAATTGTATCAAAACTATAGAAAATGCAAACTTGTAAAAATTGTAAAACCCCATTAGAAGATTAGAATAATTAAATTAGTTATGCTTAGACCCTCGCCCCCTACCCGCGGGATTTGGCTTGTATGTTTAAGCCCCCAGTGCATTTAAATATATTACGACTTTTTTGTGAAAATCACCCCAAAAAATTGACATGTGACCCCCTTCTGAAAACTGATTTGAATATGAAGGTAAATTACCAGTTTCCAATACTTCTTGTCGAAATTGTGCGACACCTCTAAAAAATGAAATCTAAGAAGGTGCTGATTTCTTTGGGTCTCAGAATGTCAGAAAGGTGAAGATTGTGAGATCATAAACCAATTTGTTTTTGTATAGTGCCACCAATGCTGTTTTTCCAGTGTTATGACTGTAGTAAATTGGCTATAACGCTAATTGCAACACTGATATTTATTTCAATGTTTATCTGGCTTTAATAGCTTAAAATAAAAAAAAAAAAAAAAAAAAAAAAAAAAAAAATATGAGTTGCCTAATTGGGATTTGAATTATGACGACCCAACGACCCAAACAAATGAAAATCCTTGATCCCGTATTTGTATATGCGAACATTTTGTGCCAGATCTTGGAAGATCTGAATGGTGATAAATTATACTATGCTTGTTTTTTCACATTCTATTCATGAAATTTATTTCATTTTTGTTTCTTGTACAGTTATACTAATCTTGGAGCTGATATTGAATCACAGTCAAGCGGAACCGGAAATACGTCAAGCCAAGATTGTTCCCAGTCTACCGGAAGTACTCCCGCAACAGACTGGTCAGACCTGTCGAAAAGTTCAACCAGTAGCCGATCTTCGTCCGAGGAGTCCGAAGAAAATATGTCGTCAGGAAAACATTACATGAAGGCTAAAAAGACTGACGATAAATTGCGCGGGAGACATTCGTCTGCTTCTCTATCGACCGCTTACAGCAACGAAGATAGGTAAAACATGTTTAAATTTAATTCACAGATCAATCATCTATATTGTGCATTACGCAGTTGCATGCACGTGCATAAAGTTATTTATTTACATCATGACAAAAGTATTTCATAATTCATCAAAAAAATTAAATTGGTTAGGTTTCCGATATACATGTTTTTAAGATGCAACATAGTTTAATCAACAGTTCAAATTGTTTTTGTTATGATATAAGCGTATTTTTTCAGATTTTGACTTAGCATTTAAATTCGCCATGTACATGTATTGTAATTAACAACAGAACAGCAACAAAAAATGAAACAGGGCGTTTGCTGATATTGTTATAACTCGTACTTGGCCAAATCCATTTGTATATAGATTTCTTTTTTCTTGTTTGTGTCTATATTGTCCTTAATAATATAGTTATGGATACGTACCATTCAATATTATACAATTTACAATATCATCAAACAAACCTTACATCATCGTAGTCATCGTCGTCGTCAACAACAACAACAACAACACCACCACCACCACCACTAAAACAACAACAAAAATAACAAACACCAACAAGATTAACAACAACATAATCAATAACAACAGTAGCCGTGTCACAAAATTACAGTATCATTTTGTAAAGAAGGCTATGTCCACCTCATGAATTCCGTTAAATATACATTTAAATTATTTTAATAAAGAATTTTTATGTTGTTTGTTTTCAGACATTCGGCCAGCGCTTCTCCAGCTTCCAGGAAGAAACTTACTAATGAGCAAATGTCCATTATATCTACACAGTCGTAAGTTTTACAAATTATTTTCTTCATATAATGATGATATTGACGTTGGCGATGATGATGTTGATGATAATGATGATGATGATCATAATGGTGATGATGATTTTGTTGACCCAGACGGCAATAAGGATAATGATGATGCTACTACTGATATGATTATGTTGTTTGTCAGAATGGCCACTTGCCATGATAAAACTACACTATATGATGATATTATGATAAGTCGGTTTGTAATGAAGTATAATGCATAATGATGTAATGATGATGTTGTTGTTGTTCTTGATGCTGCTACTGCTGCTGAAGAAGAAGAAGAAGAAAAAGATGAAGATGATGATTATGATAATAATGATGATGGCGATGAAATAAGTAATGATGATGATGTTTGTTATGATGATGATGATGATTGATGATGATTGATAAAGATGATGATGATATTAATAATAATAACAATAATAATAATAATAATAATAATGATAATAATAATAATAATAATAATAATAATAATAACAAAATTAATAAAAGTAATAATAATAACATCTGTAAAAACGATCACAATAATCAGAATTCGTTTCCATGAGAAGAAATGAATTATTAACATTTCTCATAACACAGGTTGGAGCCGCTCAGAATGGAACAGCAGTACAGAGACCGGTGGGACGACCAGTTTGATCCTTGTGGCTCTCTTCCAAGACGGTAAGTTGTTAAATGTATATGGTATGTTCACACACCCAAATGACTGTTCAATTCTTATAATATATACATATAATGACTGAAGCTGTGAATTAGCTTTCGTATTATGTGTTTTCTTATTTGACATCCCACTATCAATCTCATTCACATATGACACCATATTTAATTAATTAATTAATTAATTTTATTTTCTTCTATTTCCTGATCCTCCCAAATCTATACATTCATAATTTCATTACACAAAAACACCGTATCTTATTAATTTTCATGGTATTGCGTTATAACGTTTTGCAGTATTTTGTTTAACAAACATGTTGTTAATGATTTACCAAAATATTAATTTCTACTTTTAATTGTTAGATTTTCATTGTTAAATTACATTGATTAATCACAAGAGACGGTGAAGGTTAATTACACATCTCATATATATATTTTTGTCTTTACTTATTTATTTATTTTTCTTCTTCTCACTTTTATATTGAATTGAGTTTGACGATCTTAAAGTCACGGCACCTCATTAAGATCGGATTTACTGTTACTTCCTTTCACTTATGGGGACCCTTTGTGCCTCGAGAAGGACACCCTTTATTGTTTTTGCTGCTTATTCGTTGATATTGACTGACTCTTCAGTTAAGCCATAGACCATGCGAATCCATAGTATGTTTAACAAGTTTTCTCTGCCTGAAATCAATCGTTTATTTCGGAAAACGAATTTCCGTCAGTTAGGGGCGTTGGACAATTAAAAGAGAACACTACAAATTAATAAATAGGGCGGGCGTCATTTTATTGTTTATGTCTCGACATATCAAAATTTAGTTTAAAACCTTAAAAAACTGTAACCGCAATTTTATCATAAAATGGCGTAAACTCATATCTTGATTAATCTTTAATTATAGGGCAGATGGGAACTGTTGCGTTCAATCTTAATATTTTTAACACAAACTTGTGTTTCACTTTTTATCTAGTTGGCATTTACTGTAGTATGTATGATAGATAAATACAGATTCCCTATGAGCCAACGAAATATATGGACATGCACAATGCAACAGAGTAGCACGGCCTGCAGTATTTGCATCGTTGGGGGAATATATTCAATATTCATTTTGCCATTTTGTTGCAATTTTCAAATTGCCTATTTTGGGAGACATTAATTTAACCGTAATTGATAAAGACTTGTCTTAACATTATTTTATTACAAAACAATTTTTCAAAGGGGAAAGCGTTCGAAAGAACTATTTAGGTTCCGAAACTGTACCATGCACTAAGTTTTGAAAACACCCAATGTAAATGGCATGGCGGAGAGGTATAATCGTGCTCTATAAAAAAAAACTTGTCTTAACATTATTATTAAGCACAAAACACAAACACAGTATGGACTCGGTAAGGACTACAAAAGAAAAGTTTAAGTTTTTATTAACATACAATGTTTTAGTTTTGAAAACACCCAGTGTAAATGACATGGTTGAAAGGTCGAATCGCACTTGATAAAATCTGTTATTGAAGATAACTCGTAAAGGACAACGGATATTATATATGGAAATCATAAATGTACCAATCACAATCCAAGTTTATTCTCTGCATATGCCATATAAGCCATAATAAGTTGAAATGATTTAAGGACTATCTGTTATAATTGTTGAATAATACTTCATACAGGTTTAACTCACCGTTGCCATAATTAAACAAAATACAGATACATAAAAATGATAAATGGCAACTTGATTTATCATATTTATTTATCTAAACGCCCTATTTTGTGCATTAAGCTATCCAAGCGTTGTCATAAACGCCCTATTACACACGTTAAAAATTCTTCTTAATAATTTGATCTTATTAAAAAATCAGCGCATTCTGTCTATAAGTATATAAACTGATGTGTTTATAAAAGCATATATGCTAAATGAGTGTACATTTTGGTATACATTAAATTTGACAAATTACAAGTACCTTAAGTGTTACAGTATTTAAATATTCGACCTCAATATCAAGCAATTCATAAACTTGCATTTTATAATGTTTTTGACCTGCTATCTGATACCGACCGAGAACAGATCCTAACAAGCTATGATAATGATATGGACAGACTTATTAACCTCTTCACTCCGATCGGAGCATAGTGCCTGCACAGCTACCTATCATTTGGTTCAGTCTATGGTCAACGCTTAATCGTCGTACCATGACATCATAGTCTTGTTTAAATCTATTTCCTGGTACATATAATACATAGCGTGTCTATTGGCTTAAGCAAACTCAATCAAACCGAGTCTGCAATTCTTATGTAATTTTGTTGTGATTAATGCTTCCGGGGCATCACTTTGTTTCCAGATTTTTAACTATTGGTCTTGTGTTTTGACGATTCTAACTCAGTGCCAGTCTTGCAAGCCGGTGCTAGGGGGGCGTGAGGGATGTTGCACTTATTCATTATCCCTCATGTACAGACTCAATCAAACCGAGTCTGCAATTCTTATGTTATTTTGTTGTGATTAATGCTTCCGAGGGATCACTTTGTTTCCAGAATTTTGCAATATATGGTTGTACGCAGATTTTTGCCTGTCCTTGTCTGTTTCCTCTGTCTGTTGAATCGAATCTCTGACCGATTACTGTAGAGTCATTGTCAAAAGTGCTCGCAACATCTGTTTGAATTGAACACCGCCTATCCTTGTGGATCTTGTTTATCATATTTTAGCAAAAATTTCAAACGTTAGTCAAGACATTGCCAGAGGTTAATAATGTGTCACAGGGTGAGAAAAATGTGCAGCCTGACCGGGACTCGAACCCGGGACCCTCGGAATACCGTACCGCGGCTCTACCGACTGAGCTATCCGGCCGCTTACACATCGTCTCCCCTATATAGTAAACAGTTCTGAACCGTGACATACTCCCCTGCTATATTGAAATTCGTCCTCGAATTTCACAGAGTTACAGAGCAATGTAAATTAAACTCTGAGCATATTCAGTCACGGTCCCCCACACTGGCCACCAATGTCGTATGGTCTTTTTTCAAATGTATGAATGGTCTGTTAATGCCTGTAAGGACATAAACATACGCCTTGATAAATAAATAAATAAACAAGACAACAATTTCTGGCGCAAACCAATAGAAATATTTATATCAAAGTGCGCATGCGTGAGGTGGTTTTTCCGGGAAGTTTGTAAAAACTGAGGCCCGGCATGCAAATTATGTCAAATGAAATATGAGAAATTAGTTGTTATAATAAGATGATGAAATGGAATGATATAGGAATGATATTGGATAATGGATTGTATATCGGACTGTAAAGAAACATACAAATACAAGAGATATATATACAAATACAAGGACAAAATGATACATAAAAACGATATTCAAAAATACGAATATCGACCACATGACAAATGGTTATGTTTTATATTCATTTATTGAAACAAATTTGAACTATAAGTTACAATATATATATTTTTATGATGTTAAACTAAGCATGCTCTTTAACGGCTTTGTAAAGAAACTGAATTCGCTATATGTTTTTAAATTCAAAATTGATGAAATGTTGAATTCACCTTGGGCCGGTGCTTGGGGGAGGGGACGTTGACGATGGCTTGGTTGACGAGGGGGCGTTGATGATTGCTATCTTTAGGGATTATATTTTTCTCTATTCTATTGCATTCTATTTAGTTCCGCCCATCGTTTAGGGCATACGCAATTTTTTACTTGGGGACAATATGCCGCTTTTCCTGGAATGGCACTAACGTGTCACATTGAAGATTCCACGATAACCGCCATATGAACACATCTGCGGATGTTTCAAAATTGCAAATGGTACCAGTTCATGTTAAATGTTAAATTCTGCTTAAGCCGGTGCTAGGGGGCGTGGACGGTAATTTGCACTTGACATTAATGTCCATAAACAGACTAAATCAAACCGAGCCTGAAACATTTTCAATTTTGCCGTGTTGGGCTACCTTTAGAGATTCTTATTTTCTCTATTTCATTCGCAGTTTCCATTGCCGTCCATGAACTGGCCCAATCAAACCGAGATTGCAACATTTTGTAGCGTTGTTGTTTTGTGCGTTCTATGTGGATTCTATATTTTTCTCTATTCCTCAAGTAGCGCGTAACAAAACATTAATACGAAGAAAATCCGAGGACCTCATTGCGCCGTTCATTTAACCTCTTTATAAGAATGAAACAAAAAAGTGTTTGCATTGTTTTTGATTGAAACATTAAGTTATAATATGAAACTTAACACTTGGATTGTAAGGACAAATAAATTGTTATTGTTTTAGGATACCTTATAGATTCAGGTTTGGATATTCAGCCATTCAGTATGTCCAAAAAGAGTCGACACATCTGATAACTCATAATTATATGTACACGGCCTGTTTATACCTCCAATGCTATATAGTTTATATCCAAATGTGCCTTAGAAATTGCACTTATGCATTGCACTTATACATTCACATATTCAAAGACTTCAAAAAACAAACTAGTAATCAAATATAATAAACAAAAGAACCCAACAACTCGGACGAACTTGAATAACGTATGATTTTATTTCACGATAGGTCAACATTTTTAACCATTTGTAGTCAGTGCAAATTTTATGCGAGATATAAATGAGATGGATTTTAGATTTACAATAATATTTGAACCAAACATATGTATAGCTGAATGTTTAATTAATCTGATAATAATCTAAAACAATAACTTAAAATACAAAATAAAAATAATAATGAAATCAAAATGGCTAATTTACAGACAGACAACTTCATCATATTTCATTTTGTCGCAGATCACGTGATGTTTATTACATGCGCATGCGCAGTCATACAATGCGTTTTAAGTATGATCGATGGCAAATGAATGTTTCAACAAAAAGTGTCATCTGTAAAATCTCATGTTAACAGTCGGAGATAAAAGTAATTATGACCCGAAATGTTCATGCCTTGGTATTTTTGTAAGATTGAGCGATATTTTTTGCATATGAATTCATTAAAAACCCATATTATATAAATGTATAATTTAATAGACGTTTGCGGTTAAATACATTAAACATGAAAATGAAAAATTGCTGAAATAAGAAAAAAACAGGGTGCAGTGAGGCTACAGGTAACACGTGACCTATGATGCCTGCAAGCAGCGTTTGTGCTATTATTCAAACGAGATGATTGCTTAAGTTTATCAATTTTATTAGAGTATTCAGTCGAAGAAAACAACCCCAAAACATTTCCCTACTCTTCATACGTGATGATCCTTTTGTCAGAAATAAATTATCACTTATAAAAGTCAGTTTTCGTGCGATCTTTACGAACTTAGTTTGCGATATCAAACAATTAAGTTAACGAACTAAGAATTCCGGGACGCGCTGTATTCCATTGCAATTTCATGTACATAAAAATTGTTGAATAAACAGAATATTAATAACAGCAATGTCCTTCTCCAAATCGAGGCTCAATATGGGGTTCATATAACGCGTGATATAGAGATTGATTACTTATGTTTGAAAAAGCTGCAGTCTTTGTTTTACGTGATTTTCATGTGAGAAATTCCCTTGCTAAAATATTGAAAGCGGTTGTGTCTTATCCAATCATGAAACTATTGTTTATTTATGTATTACTACATCTATTCTACAGTAATCTGAGTCATCACAGTCATCCGTCGGAGAGTCGGCTAAGCGTCAGCTCGATGAGTTCCGGCAGCTCTTATAATCACGCCTATCCAACCTTCCCCATACCATCCAAAGACCTCGTGCGACAACTTCACATGGACAAAGAGAGGTAACTATGTCAATCTATTTATAGTAATTAATAGCACTGTCGCAGTTGTCTCCCTTTATATTTCGTATTTACGCTCAACATAAAAATATATGATTGATTTTTGTGTTGTATTTATTATAAGACGTGGTTTATATCAATTAATATATTTAAAGTCACATTATGCCTCAGAAGTGAAAAATATTTACTTCTTTTGAAATGTCAAAAATAAATAGTGGTTTTAATTTTTTAATTTGTTACTTGAAAATAGCGCTAAATGGAAAAATATTTGTAAAAAATGCAAAAATGTGAATAACTTAATATATATACAAAATATTACTTTGACTTTTACATGAACCCTTTTATATCTTTTTTAGACGATATCCTTCAAATGCACCCGCTGTAAAGTAAGTATACGCAACATATATGTATACATTTTCTAAATGCTGTATATTATTATATTAAATGTATATTATTGGTCATGTTTGAAAGAATTTGTTTGCTTTCTTTGCATTTAAGTCAAATCAGGTAGAGTAATGTTTTTGAAAATAATTAATTAATTAATTAATTAATTAATTAATTAATTAATTAATTAATTAATGATAATTAATTAATATATAATAATTATTAATTAATTAATTAATTAATTAAAAAAATGAATAAGTAAATAAATAGATATACAGATGATTGAATGTAAACTATCGTATTTACTTTTAGACATATTAAAAAAAAGAAAAGAAAAAAAACGCCATAAACATGAGTGCACTAATTTTTGTCTTTGAACATTTTCAGGAAGGAGAAGCACGTGCGACTCTCACCACCGTACCGGTAACCAACTGGCTGTACATATCTGCAAAATATATGCATAATATTATAACAAAAATTCAGGCATAATTAAAACGATGTTGTCATTTCTTAACGTTTAATTTTGTCGTATATTGTAAGTGTTTAAATGTTTAAATTTCGTTATGTCTTTTTTAATATAAGAGTGATAATAAACTCGGCATACCCATCTGTAAATATGTATATGTTGGACGACGTTAAGAAAAGATAAACATTAAATATGTATGCAGCTAAATAATGGGAGCATAGCGACCCATTGAGATTGTGTTAAAGGCACATGGTGCTTCAGAAATACATATTTATTGAATTCCTTTAAATATGTCAAACTTGTGTTAAATAAAGTTTGATCATGAATAATTGATTTAGAGCAAATGAGATGTTTAAAAAGCTGAAGAAAGCAGCGTTTATTATGCATTAATGTGTAGTAAAGGTAGTAAAATGTAAACATAGTAGTATTTTTGCTTCCATACAATACTTATTCACATAACTATACCAATTACACCAGTTTGCTACAGAGCAAAAGAAGCAAAGATTGTTCTTCTTTATGTTAAATGAGTATTTTTTGGAAACTGTTACAAGATACCAAAACTAGAAAGTTTTTTAGAAATGAAAAAAATGATATCATTTTTTAGGCCTAATGGGCCTTTAAAAGCTTGTTTTTGTTATTACACACACACTGTACTGTCTGAAGTTGACTGCATACTTTTCAACGATGTATCCAAATATACGCAATATTAAATGAATTAGTGCTTAAAATCAATACCGAAGAAAGTTCATGGAAAAAAAATTGTCAGAATTTTCAAATTTAGGCTTTCTCATTGGTCTAAAAAGTAGGTCAAAGTCTAATCAGTCGTTCACGTTGTTACCATGCAGTAAAACCATCACTGTTTCTTTTTTCCACAGAAACAGGTTGATTTTTTTCGTCCAGTTTTCAGAAAAATATATTTTGCTTGTTTGTATTTTTGTTTTGATGAGATATAACTTTATATTCTACCTGAAGTGAAAACCCAAATGTTTCATATTTACGAGCATCAACCCTGAGTGAAACAACAATAGAATATTTATATATATCTTAAACACCATCATTATTATGCTAAAGTCGTGTTGAATATCTTTTTTCTCTAAATAATTTTTGTATTTATAAACCATCTTTACAGTAGGCAAATTACAGTATATTGTACAATATATGGAGTGAATGGTATGTAGTGATCTATATACATATACGATGAGTGATACAAATTATATCTCACTGTTAATATACGGTTTCTCATTAATTAGTGACAATGTTATATCTGGAGTGAATGATATGTAGTGAGTGATATGCGGTGAGTGATACAAATGATATCTCACTTGTAATATATACATAGTATCTCATTGATTAGTGACAATGTTATAACTGGAGTGAATGATATTTAGTGAGTGATATACTGTGAGTAATACAAATGATATCTCACTGGTAATATATACATGTATCTATGGTATCTCATTGAATAGAATATATATATAAAAAAGGATATCTAAGATACAAATTCAAACCTTTCCTATTATATAGGAAAGGTTTTTGTATGTGTATCAATAGATTGTAATTATTCACATACAGCTAGATAAATATGGAAAATGACTCATAAATTGAAGATACATGTATAATTTATATCTATTCTATAATTAATAGGCATGATACTTTCCTGAAGGATTTATAACTTGAAAATATGTAATGCGTTGTTAAGACAGCAATTTATGCCATGCTCAAATAAATAGACTGTAGCAATTTATGTCATGTCCAAGTTAACAGACTGTAAAACATATGCTTTTTGTCTATAAGTTCAAAGTGATCTTTTTGTGCACATGTCGGTTTATTAAATGTCAATGCAAAAACTTTATAATGCGTCAATTTTTTTATTTGTTTACAAGATAAAGTAATTAAAGAATTATATTAAAAAGAAATTTTATAATAATTTGAAATAATTACGATTCGAAGCACGTAGTTTTCAACTTCATATTAAAACATAAATTACTATAGTCATTGTTCTAAAAAATAAAATGTCGTTGAAATTATATTTTTATACCAACTTTGATCATATGCATATCTTTATTTAACAATCATTTTTCTGCTGAATGTTAAAAGCATTTAATTTATGTTTGTGACATTCAGGCGTGTTAGTTGTGACATTACCGCTCTCAAATATGACATTGTTGCAATTGAATATGACATTGTTGTTATAAGATGTGAAATTTTAGTTGTTAGATATGATATTGATGCTTGAATTATGACGATTTTGCAGTACATTGAAACGTGTTTGCTGCTAAATATAGAATATTTATCAACAAATATGACTTTTTAGGAATATAATTATATATTTTATGGTTAAAATGTCACATTTTTGTTCTTAAAACTCTTAATTTTGTGGTTGAAATATGACATTTCTGTTCTTAAAAATGATAATTTCGTAGATGAAATATGACATTTTTGTTCATACAAATCTGAATTTCGTGGTAAAAATATGACATTTTCGTTCTTAAAATCTTATTTCGTGGTTAAAGTGTGACATTTTTGGAACTAGTTGTAATATTTCCATTTCTAAAGGTGAACTTTTTTATATTAAATGTGACGTTTTTTCACATTTCCGTTGATCAATGTGATTATTTTTATCCGTTAATGTGACGTCATCACTATTAAACATGTCATTTTTCGCTATTCCGCTATTGATATTGTTTATATAAATAGAAAATATTTTTCATATTTTTAACATTAATTAAAAGAAATCAAATGTGAACCATTTCAAAAACTGCGGTATATCGCAGAACTAGTGACGTCATTTTAAGTTCATGACGTAGTAATTGGTGTCAGAATAGAACATTTGAGCTTCAATAATAACTTGTAAATGAAGCAAATAAATAGTAAGCAATACGACTTTTCTTTTTAAACATGCCATTTTTCGCTATTCATTATGACATCTGTTTTTGTTTGTTAGATAATAAATTGCCGTTGCTTAAGATGTGATATTGTTTATACTCATAGATACTATGTGTTTATCAAATGTGAACCATTTCAAAAACTGTGGTATATCGCAAAACTGTTTAATTGTGAGTTCATGACGTAGTACTTAATTGATGTCGGATTTCGAATTTTAAATAGAATATTTTTTAGCTTCAATAATAAATTAATAACTAGAAAATAAAGCAAAGAAATATTAAGCACTACGTCTTTTCTTTTTATATTACAAAAAAAGAATAACGCATATGAAAGAAGGCAAGAATATTTATTTTCTTTGTTTTCTCTTTTTTTTCTTTTTTCACTAGAATGATATAAATATAGCTTTTGATGTTTATATATTAAGAAAGTTGTGTACATATTTTAAAGATATATATGTTCCAATTACAGTTGTATTTATAACTGTCTAAACACAAACATATATTATGTATAAACTTGTAAATCTAATTTCGCTAATTATTTATATATTCCCCATTGCTCAAACTTCATAATAAAGTAATAATAAATTTTTATAGCGTTTTTTATTTTACTTTTGTTCTTTTTCTTTGTTTGATAACTCTTATAGTATTAGTTATAAAGCATTTTAAAGTTATACGACCCTTTATAATACTGCACGTTTGAAACGTCGCTTTTCATTGAATAATCGTGACGTTTATAAATATAGTTTTATATACACGGCTGCTGTCAATGTATAGAGAAAGAAATCTCACTTTTTCTCAGAAAAAGAAAGTTTGTAGTATTATAAATTCGTTATAAAGATTGTTGACATGTTATATGGCCGAATATAAACGGTTGTCTGCAATATAACCCCCGCCTGGCGACTCTGGTTATATTTACAAACAACCGTTTGTATAGGGCCATATAACCTGTCAACAATCTTTATAACTAATAATATAAACGGTTGTTTGGATACACAACCCCAACCGTTATACACGGCCATATCACTTGTCAAAAAATCTTTATAACGCATTTATATAATACTGCAAACTTCTAGGAAAATGAAATAACTTCACAAATAAGTGTAAGTGAAGGCTACTAGTACTGGTAAACTGCTTGACAGTCTGTCCAGGAACGATGAGGTGGCTAAACTGTGCTCTGGTGAATTCAATGTGGCTTACTGTCGTGATCCGGAGTGAAAACTACCAGCGCTACAACCACAAATGACAAACATGTGTCAATAATGTTATATTAATAGAATGATATAGAAAAAATGCTTTTTAGCTGCAGTAAAAAGCGACCAATGCGATATCATTTCAGATGAAGGAAGCAAACACCGTAAACAAAGTCGTATTTTGACTCCCATATACAATACTAAATACTTAAAACTGTTGTTATTGCAAAATATGAAATAAATTGAAAGGAAGTACAAGATAGTCAAGTAGTAGGACTAAAATTTTGGAAAGTAATAGGACATCAAAAATCACAAGCTTTTGATACATAAGACTACTATCATTTTTGAGGTTTTATGTACAGACTCAATCAAACCAATTCTGCAATTTTCATGTAATTTTAATGTGATAAATGCTTCCGAGGGATCACTTTATTTCCAGACTTTTATAGGTCAGTACTTCTACAAACGTATAAATTCAACCTGCTAATCGAAAAAAAGCTTACTTTTAAATTTCCACGATGATTTACCTACTTACTTTGAAAACTGATGATTCATTATCAGAATGATTTGTGTATTTGAATAGACATGTATAAATCAATTAATTATTAAATTGATTTATTTATAAACACAACATTGTCTATGTAAATACAAAGGATTTGAAAACCTCAGTGAAAGACATCAAAGTTTTCGTTTGTGTTTATGTTGAAAAATAATCGTTTAAACAAGAAGATAGGCGTAAATAAATTACCCATCACGACGTAACATGTACCATAATGGGAATTAGTTATGTCTGACAAATATATTCATTAGTGACTGTCATTAAATAATAGAAAATATGACGTCTTGACCATTGATGCATTAAAGGTCCTCTACCAAATAAATAAAGGAATTATTAGAAGCATTTTGTTATTTTGTTTCCTTGTCCAGCGCGGCATTATGTATGCAATACTAATTTAAGGCCCATGCTTAGATTTTTACCATCGTACCATCGCGTTTTCACCATCGTACGATCGTGCATCGCGGGTACAGACGAAATAAAAAATCACGATTGTCCAAACGAAACACCGTATGATAGGCATTTAGTATTCTCTAAAACCACTATTTAAACGTAATAAAAATGAGGCGTAGAATACGTTTAACTCTAATATATTTGTTACAGGACACATATTTTTTCGGAGGTGGTCCGAAACATAGGGTTGACTGTGTGTCAAGTTACTTTTACTTTTTCGAATGCATTTAAGCTTAATTTTGGGAAAAGTATAGCTTGTATTATTTCTAGTTTCATATTCAGGCTATTCTAACCAGTTCTAAGGTTATTTAAAGAAAAGGAAAAAAAAGAGGCACAGTACCTCACTTTATCATTTTTTTTTACCGAAAGAACACTATAAAATTAATTATTTCAATGCAGAAGTTTGTAATTGATATAATTTAAGATCAGTCATTCAAAATATTTTAGATATACTTATAATTGAACTTTTTCAATTTAAATTAACTTAAAATAAACAATTCGCAAGATGTCTTGCATTGGTAAGTGGTGTTTAGTCGTCAGATAAAATTTAAATGTAAAAAGAAAACAATATTTGTTTTCAAGTATAAGTTTCGAGATATAATTTAAATTTCAGCTGAATTTTGATAAAAGTTTAAGGCTACTCAAAGTCGGGTTTATTTCCCGGAACTTACCAATACTGGTGTCATATTGGGAACCTCGTCGTGACCCTATTAGAGCTCGAACCCACTATCCTTGGGTTGTAAGGTAGACGCCTTAATCACTGGCCCATGAACGTCCTTCAATATGTACAGTATAAGAACCTTATGAAGTAAAATCTGTCCTTTAAAGCAAACCCAGTTTAGACGCTGAATGTCAATGTCGTAAATGGATTTATTGCAATCGCTAAATTATTGCAATCTGTACCTTTAAATCGGTCATACAAATTTGGGCTCGTCTTTTTTGTTAGGCAGTAATTCGACATTAAATACATATATGCTATTATATGTGGTCAAAGATCGATCAATATTGATTATCGAAGTGATAGGTTTTATTGATATTTTATTCAGTTTTTCGCGAGAATATCTGAGGTAATTATTTCGCGGGGTGATTCACAGAAGTGTTGGACATGCGCAGATAGATATATTATTATGTTATTATGTTTTAATGCGTGGTCAGTGTTGTGGTGAAAAAAAATAATTGAAAGAAAAAAATGTGTTGAATTTACTATTATAGTTCTATAAAACATGGATTTAAAATCAAATTAATGTAAAAAAGCTATTATTTTTTTCGAGTTGCTATCTTAGTCATAGACCTTAAAAATTCAACTACTTTCGGATAAAAATAAATTCACAGAATTTTGGCAATACATTTGAAGCCGAAAAAGCACGGTTCTTTAAAAAGGTTTCGTTGAAGGAGAAAGCATAGATTATAAACGATCAAAATATGGTAAGTTTATTTCATAAACTCGTATCATGGGGTATTATGTGTAATTTTTAAAAATGAAATAGTATAGTTTTGTAAAAAAAAAACTCTCCAAAAGCAAAAACGTTTTTATACAACATTTTAACAAAAACATAAGGTATGAAAAAAGTAAATGCCACTGCTTGTAACTAGCAAGGTTATAAGGTCCAGTCGATGGCTTTTTGTGAATCATTAAATGAAAAAATATCTCAAAATTCTTGGTCTTTATCCAAGGGTTTTAAAATTTGTCTATATACAATTTGTTCCCGATATAATATTATTGTTATTACATTTGATGCTATAATTATATATAAAAAAGTATAAATTAACGCTAATTTTCCAAAGCCTCATGGAAAACACTGGAGCAAATTTGCTGTATCTCTAAATGAAGTGGACAATTATTAATGAAGTTCATTCCATGTAACAAAGGATCAATTTAATTGTAAATCTATTGCCCCTGCTTAAATAATGTTATGTATGAAAGAATACAAAAAAATCCGAAGACATACGGTCCTTTAATCAAATTCTTCTTAATTGTGAGGGAAACAATGCATTTAATGTATTTTTTGATTATTCATGATTGAAATTTTCCGAAGCATTCCGGAGTTTCACGGAGTTTACCGAATATCGTCACAAAGACATTTTCCCTCCATTTCTCTCATTGTACATGATGTACCGAATGACAATAATTGACAAGTTGATGATAATTAATCATCGGTCAATTATGACAGCAACAGACAATCAACTTGTTATTAGTTACAAAAAAATACCAATGTCATGTACGCCATGGTCGTAAAAAATCACTACAATCTATAAATAGATTTTTGTTTTTTACATTTTGAATATATAAAATTTTATATCATTACCTTGAAGAAATAATATAATATTAATTATTCTACTTCGTTATTATAATGCCAAAAACGATATAAAATAAAATGAAATATAAATAAAATATTATGCACAGTTTAGAAATCCAATGAACCTTTGTGCAACAGGAGTGATTCGTTTTCCATCAAATTTAGATAGTACTAACTTTGATTTCAGTAGCCGGTAAAGTGGGAAGTTTCAATGTAGTTTTGGATTTAGATGTAGAAGTGTTTTTAATTCTTATAAAAAGACAGTCAACATAGAAAAGCACGGTACATGTACATGTAGCACTGACGAAAAAACAGAAATTTTGCTGCTGATTCCGTAACCTCGCTTCCACAACTTAAAAAGAAAAGAAAAAAAAAAAACTTTAATAGTTAATAAATACAAATTTACTTAAGTTTGATTGTGTTGGAAGCAATGAGCTTATGTATACATTCAAATCCTTTCCTAGAACCAACCAGTACGAAACAATGAGTGTAAGGTTTCTTGCTCACGAAAGAAACGGCCTAGCCTTTATTGGAATTGAACCCAGGCAGTCAGCAATCCTTACATAAATAATTCGAGGCGTCAACATTTTTCATGCTTTATAAGATACTCTAAGAAAATCGGGGTCCGATGTAATGGTGCTTTATATTTTACAAGTTCAAAAACAAGATGTCTCTCCGTGTTCGTTGTATCCTACAAAAGCAAACAACATTAAAACAGTGACATGCATTAACCACCCGGCCACGCCGCCACTCCAATACAGCCCTAACGGGGTTTGAACTCACGCAGGCGGCAATCCGGTCGGGTGTTTGAAATCATTCACACTATTGTTTATAAATTTTTTTGCACGTTATTCACGTTTTTATAAATATATATTCAAATGTGTTAATAATACATGCATTTTCTTTTACAGAGTAACATGTTGTGGAGCATTTTAGTATTCCTGCCAGTGTTTCAATGTGTTCTTTGTCACGGTAAGTACAAAACAAATAAACCATACAACGCTAAATACATACAATAATATATTACTCTGGCATCAAGGTTATAAAACTTTTTTTTCGAGTTCTGTCTCAATCTCATAACCTCGGACCCAGGGGACGAAAGTCAAGGATGATGTCCAGATTAAACGGACCCCCCCCCCCAAAAAAAAAAAAAAAAAAAAAAAAAAAAAAAAAAAAAACAAAACAAAACAAATAAGCGGATAGAAAGTGATTTCCAAATAAAATCTTCAGTATATCATTATACATTTTAGTTTAAATAATGTATCATTATTTATCAAATTAATCATGTAGGAAGCTATAAGTACAATGTATATTAAAATACTCTCATATCCGTTCCAGGAACCAACCAATAGTAAGTATTTAGTGTAAAATTGCTTGCTTGCCGAATCAATGGATTACGCCTTACGAGATTTGAACCCACGCGCCCAGCAATCCTTAGATTTCTAGTCTGACGCTTTAACCACCGGTCCGATGGATAGAAGGTTAAAATAATTTTAGGTTATAATTATATATTCATCAGGTCAAGCTAAGCACAAAGCAGTGCACGAAGTGTGTACAACAAGTGCCGACTGCCCTGCACGTGCTACATGCAAACCTACGTCATGTGACGGCTACACGTGCTTATGTGACGACGGTCACGTGGCAACACACGACAGAAAGGAATGCATCCGAGGTATAATCTTTAACTTTTTTTAATTTCTTTATCGCAATGGTATCAACTTAGTTTTGGTCAATATTTTTTTTTATAACTACCGTTTGGTCACGTGACAGTATGTGCTCCTACTTAAAAAGTAGACATCATTTGAAAAAGTCACGTGGTATAACTTCTTAATCTATCAAAACAAAAGCAAAATGACTTGTTTAATGTCAACCTGAAACAAAAGTTAAAAATTTTACAAATGCATAAAAGACAATACTAGCTATGTTCTTAAAAGTGATGATATCATTTCCGGTTTCAGCTGCTCGAATAGGTGACAAATGTGAACAAAACCAGACACGGTGTATTTCCGAGTACGCCCAGTGCGATTCCGGGGAATGTAAATGTATGAAGGGTTTCCAAGCTACAAAAGATGGCCGATGTAAACTTCCGGGTGTTAATTTCGTCGGTGAAGGATGCGGTTCGTGTGAATTTCCGGCACAGTGCGTTGATGGAGTGTGTAAATGCGCGGGAGAATTTAGGTCTTTAACAACGGAGGAATTCTGGGTGGATCCAATTAGTGTTCTACAGTGCAGACCTAAGGACTACAGCTTAGGTGAAACATTAAATACATTCTTTCTTACATTTACAAATCATAGACATTATACATTACAGTAAACATGAAATCGTTTATAGGGTAGTCCGTGGCCGGGTGGTTAAGGTCTTTATTGATTTAATTTACTTTAAATACCACTTGCCCTTTACCGATGTGGATTCTAATCTCGCCAGGGACTTTGAGTCATTTCGTCATGTTTTATAATGGTAGTTTTTATCTAAGTAATGCAAATGCCAACCACCACATTCGATATCTCCTTTCAATACGACTAATTAAAATGTTTGCAAATTTACTGCCTGGAGATTAGAATGTACAAGACGCTTGAAGAACAGTGCATAATTGCCATTCTATTATTTACGAGACACCGTTTATGTATTTTTTTCACTTTTACAGATTTTTGTAACGGGACTTCTATAGTCGTCAAGTCTGAAACAACGCAACCATCCAATACACAGACCAACAGTTTCTCCCCTACTGGCATTAATTCAAATGACTGGTCCCTGATACTGCCAGAAAAATCTATTTACGAGAGTTGTAACTCCCACTCTCAGTGTCCAGGTAAACACTCCATTGTTTTTTTATGATTTTGACCATAAAAACGCTAAATATCTTAAATGGATCTGTCCATGTTTTAATTTGGACAAAAGCAATGTGACGACTGATCTATGTGGCAGTTGCCGTCTGCAAATGGAAACGTGCAGTTCAACTTCCGTTAAAGCGACTCAACTGAGATATTTCGACATGACGGGACTGGAAATGATTTTCGAGATTATTACTCCATTCGATGTAGATCTATACCTACAACTTATGTGCAAAATTTCAGATCATTAACTCGCTCTGTTTTTTTTTCAGAATAGTTATTCTAATTGTGAATAATGACACAAAACTCACATCTGACTAAGAATAGCACAAACATACGATTTACAGTGCATTTCTGAGTATATTTGTTAGTTAAATTTTATTCATATTTCAGTTTTAAGTGCCCCAGTTGATCTATGTAAGAAATTAAAATTATATGTATTCTGTCTATAAATCTCAGCGGAGTTCCTTTAAGAAGTAAAAGTTATGCAAAGAATTGGTCTTATTATTATATGTCACGATTTAGAACTGTTTACTAATAAGTGAACAGTAAATAATACTTAAATATCCCAATATGAGATCATACGTCTACTTAAATGATTATACTGGTTAAAAACATTACTTAAATATCTATGAAATAGGCAAAGAGAAAAAAAGAATGACACTATGCAGAGGTTTAATTTATAAGATTAAAATGAAACTGTAATTATAATGACAAAATCTTAAAATAAATATATCTGGTTAAAAAATAAAGCAAAATAAAGCAGGTCTCATTTGAATTTTAATGGCAAATTATACAAATATAATTAGATAAAATTATGTAAATCCATTTTTGATGATGTTATTACATAATGTTTGAGAAATATATTTATTTTTTAATAATCATTTAACAAAACCTGGCTTTGTAATTTGAAAATTAACAAGAAAAAAGAAAATAATTTCATGAAATTCAGTTATTATGACTGATGGATTCACACCGGTAAAATATATTAAACTGCACAAATTTTACCGCATAAAATGAGTAATTTGTTATAACATTTTGTATAATTACTAAAATCTAAATAATGTAGAAGTAATATATCAAAATTGTCACACATTTTTCTCTTCTATAATTGGACGGTTCGGTTATTTAAAGTCAATAGCCAATAATATGCATGTATATTTTTTGTTATTTTAATAAACTTAAATGCGTAGATCATAGTAATCATGTCATTTAAATAATAATAATAATAATAATAATAAAGATCCTCAACCCCCTAGATATGTGAGGGGAGTGGTGGCCTAGTGGTTCAGGTGTATAAGCATCTCAACCTAGGGCTAAGACCTTATTGATTCGAGCCCTACTGGGGTCACGACCATGATTCTTCATAGGACACCAGTACTGGTTGGTTCCAGAAACGGACTCTAAAGTAATAAATATGAGTTGCAAGAACCTGTTTCGCAAACGCGCTTAAATAAATATGAACCAAACTAGACGTGACTTTAGATTGTCGTGTATTTTCCTAGAACGCGATAAGTATTTTCCACCATTTTTTTTCCCGATGATGACGTAGGAATGTCCTTCCCAAAAACATATTGATCTGCAAGTCATGCATGTCTAAATGAATCCCGCAAATGCTTTTTTTTATCATGCTTGTGGTGCAAAATAATATAATAAATGGTTTCCTATTTCTTTATCATTTGGCTTTTTAAAAGGTGAAATCCGATCACTCATCGTTATCATGCTAATGACACTATAAGTCATGTGTTATAAAAACTTGAATGATCACAACTGTTTTTCATGTTTTAAGGAGCATGAAGCTATAACTGTCGACGCATACTTTTAACAATAACACTTCTTGGTTATAACGTCAATTTTCATTGGATAAATCGTGAGGCTTATATCACCTATATGCGCGGCTGCGAAAATATTATGCCAACACGCATAGCTCAAATGGTAAGAGCGCGAGACAGGTAATCTCGACATTGTGGGTTCGATTCCCGGCACCAATTAAACTAAAATCACCAATCAGTCTTTCGGATAAGACTTTAAATTGAAGTCCAGTGTGTGAGTGCTTCAAAACGATAAAGAACCAGGAATTTGGGCATCTTTCTGTATCTGTAACTTGCACTACCCTCCAAAATCTTAAATGACTAACACTCTTCAAGATGACTCGCCCATATAGCAATATAGGTGGCGAGTAAAAATAAACTCTAAATCACATACACATTATGAATGACAGTTTTTATTCTGATTATGTCATTTTATACTGATAAGGTGTCCGTACTCTTAGTGCCTGAAAGGGCGGATGGACCCTCATTAAACATAGAATACAAATAATTCTGGAAAAAAAAATTAACAAAAACTTGTTTAATATTATAAAAGATATTGACAGGTTATATGGCCGAGTTTTTTTATATAACCAATGTCTAGCGTCTCTCGTGACACGAGCTTTACAAGCATCCCGGGACATATAAACTCTTGAAATCACTTTAAATATAATACGAATTCCAAATCCCGGAGAATTTGAGCCCTGTATGTAAACATCATTGACGGTATGCTGTACAGTACGGTGGCACAGAGGTGACATGTGGGTGTCTTTATTTATCTCGTTCCCACGAGATAATAAGTCGTTCCCACGAGATAATATCTCGTTCCCACGAGATAATTATCTCGTTCCCACGAGATAATAAGTCGTTCCCACGACATAATATCTCGTTCCCACGAGATAATTATCTCGTTCCCACGACATAATATCTCGTTCCCACGAGATAATAAGTCGTTCCCACGACATAATATCTCGTTCCCACGAGATAATATCTCGTTCCCACGAGTTAATTATCTTGTTCCCACGAGATAATATCTCGTTCCCACGAGATAATTTCAGCCAATCAAAACTCAGTATAGTGGAAAAATTAAAAGTTATTTCCCTTTTTTTAACAAATGCTAAAATGGACTTTAACAATCAGGCTAATATTAGAAACCTTATATCAAGATACTTTCATGAAAGATTGAATTACCGGCAAATAGTGACTGTGTTGCGAGAACAACATGGGATATTATTGTCAATAAGACATTTATATAGACTTTTAAGGTCTGAAGGACTTCAACGAAGGTCGTACTCTGATCCATCTTCAGTTATAGACTTCGTCCAGAATGAACTCCAACATTCAGGCCAGCAACACGGATACAGGATTATGCGTGAAAGATGTCTGGCAAATGGTTTATATGTTCGATCAGGCGACATAGCAACCATTCTCCGTATAATGGATCCCGAGGGTAAGAAAATAGCACACCCGTCTTTATAAATGTATAGCCACAAATAACAAAATGTCATGTAAAAACTTGAGACACAGACATGACAACAAACGTCATATTTATAAGACTTTCTTTTCTGTATCCATTATCATATATTCCTTTATGTTATTTGATGAACAAAAAGCCTCTTCTGTATGAACTTCATAAACGCACTACCCAATTAAAGGAGAAATCACACAGCATCCAGCAGTATCAAAGCCACATGATCCCTATGCGACCAAACATTCACTTTGTTAAATGGTAAACCCAATAGCAACGATGTTGGCCTATAAACATGAGAATACATACAAGAGAGAAATACTTTAAATGCGACGTGACGTGAGAATACAAACAAGAGAGAAATACTTTAAATGCCACGAGACGTGAGATTACATACAGGAGAGAAATTCTTTAACTGCGACGAGAAATGAGAATACATACAGGAGAGAAATACTTGAAATACGACAAGACATGAGAATACATACAGGATAGAAAATCTTTAACTGCAACGAGACATGGGAATACATACAGGAGAGAAATTCTTTAACTTCGACGAGACATTAGAATACATACAGGAGAGAAATTCTTTAACTGCGACGAGACATGAGAATACATTCAGGAGAGATATTCTTTAACTGCGACGAGACGTGAGAATACATATAGTATAATATATATAGTATACATATAATTAACAGTATTTTATTCCTGTATGACTATGTATTCTTAACAATTTCTTCGCAGTTAAAGAATTTCGCTCCTATCTGTATTCTCATGTCTCGTCGCATTTAAAGTTTTTCTCTCCTGTATGTATTCTCCACCTCTAGTCACATTTAAAGTATCTTTCTCCTGTATGTATTCTCATGTCTCGTCTCAGTTAAAGAATTTCTCTTTTGTACGTATTCTCATGTCTCGTCGCAGTTAAAGAATTTCTCTCCTGTATGTATTCTCATGTCTCGTCTCAGTTAAAGAATTTCTCTCCTATATGCATTCTCACGTCTCGCCGCATTTAAAAAAATCACTCCTGTATGTATTCTCATGTCACGTCGCAGTTAAAGAATGTCTGTCCTGTTTATATTCTTATGTTTCGTCGCAGTTAAAGATTTTCTCTCCTGTATGTATTCTCATGTCTCATCGCAGTTAAAGAATTTCTCTCCAGTATGTATTTTTCTCTCGTGTATGTATTCACATGTCTCGTCACAGTTAAAAATTTCTCTCGTGTATGTATTCTCATGTCTTGTCGGAGTTAAATAATTTCTCTCCTGTATGTATTCTCACGTCTCGTCGCATTTAAATTATTTATCTCCTGTATGTATTCTCATGTCTCTTCGCAGTTATAGTATTTCACTCCTATATGTATTCTCACGTCTCGTCGCAGTTAAAGAATATCTCTCCTGAATGTATTCTCATGTCTCGTCGCAGTTTAAGAAGTTCTCTCCTGTATGTATTCCCATGTCTCGTTGCAGTTAAAGAATATCTCTCCTGAATGTATTCTAATGTCTCGTCGAAGTTAAAGAATTTCTCTCCTGTATGTATTCCCATGTCTCGTTGCAGTTAAAGATTTTCTATCCTGTATGTATTCTCATGTCTTGTCGTATTTCAAGTATTTCTCTCCTGTATGTATTCTCATTTCTCGTCGCAGTTAAAGAATTTCACTCCTGTATGTAATGTCACGTCTCGTGGCATTTAAAGTATTTCTCTCTTGTTTGTATTCTCACGTCACGTCGCATTTAAAGTATTTCTCTCTTGTATGTATTCTCATGTTTATAGGCCAACATCGTTGCTATTGGGTTTACCATTTAACAAAGTGAATGTTTGGTCGCATAGGGATCATGTGGCTTTGATACTGCTGGATGCTGTGTGATTTCTCCTTTAATTGGGTAGTGCGTTTATGAAGTTCATACAGAAGAGGCTTTTTGTTCATCAAATAACATAAAGGAATATATGATAATGGATACAGAAAAGAAAGTCTTATAAATATGACGTTTGTTGTCATGTCTGTGTCTCAAGTTTTTACATGACATTTTGTTATTTGTGGCTATACATTTATAAAGACGGGTGTGCTATTTTCTTACCCTCGGGATCCATTATACGGAGAATGGTTGCTATGTCGCCTGATCGAACATATAAACCATTTGCCAGACATCTTTCACGCATAATCCTGTATCCGTGTTGCTGGCCTGAATGTTGGAGTTCATTCTGGACGAAGTCTATAACTGAAGATGGATCAGAGTACGACCTTCGTTGAAGTCCTTCAGACCTTAAAAGTCTATATAAATGTCTTATTGACAATAATATCCCATGTTGTTCTCGCAACACAGTCACTATTTGCCGGTAATTCAATCTTTCATGAAAGTATCTTGATATAAGGTTTCTAATATTAGCCTGATTGTTAAAGTCCATTTTAGCATTTGTTAAAAAAAGGGAAATAACTTTTAATTTTTCCACTATACTGAGTTTTGATTGGCTGAAATTATCTCGTGGGAACGAGATATTATCTCGTGGGAACAAGATAATTAACTCGTGGGAACGAGATATTATCTCGTGGGAACGAGATATTATGTCGTGGGAACGACTTATTATCTCGTGGGAACGAGATATTATGTCGTGGGAACGAGATAATTATCTCGTGGGAACGAGATATTATGTCGTGGGAACGACTTATTATCTCGAGGGAACGAGATAATTATCTCGTGGGAACGAGATATTATCTCGTGGGAACGACTTATTATCTCGTGGGAACGAGATAAATAAAGACACCCACATGTCACCTCTGTGCCACCGTAGTACAGTGGTCTTAATTAATTGCAACTTTTAATGAAAATATTAAAATGATATTTTATATATTTTTCATCTGCAGGAAACGCCAGGTGTCGCCCTAATTCCTGTGACGGTTTCGTTTGTTTGTGTGACGTCGGATTTGTACAAAGTGACGACAGACTCCAGTGCCTTCCAGGTACGTATTTTCCATTCTACGGCAATGTTTTGTTACGGTATAGAACTGTTCACTAATCGAGTAAGCTGCATAAAGGTGTTCCGAATGTACAATATAAGAGTTCCGGTCAGGTTGCACATGTTTCTGTCCTACAGTATTTGACGTACAATGTGGGGGCAATAATGGTATATATAGCTCCAAGACTTTTTCTCAAACTCTCTTTAACCGTCTTAAATTCGAAAACAAATTTCAAAAAAAGAGGGTAATATGTCACGGTAAAGAACTGTTCACTAAATAGGGGGAACCAAAAACAAGGGAGAGTACGTTGTTTAATTGTTTTCCCGAATGAAGGGCTGCTAAGTTTATACAGCAAAAGGAATTTCAGAAGATAGTAATAGTGTATAAATTTCATTTGAGCAAATATTTGTACCTTTATATGGTATTATGATATATTTTTCATTTCTTTTAAGAGTGCTTATTGATAATTATTTGTTTTAAATCACTGACGGTACAGTCTTTTTCGTTTCCGCAGCTGTGAAAGTAGGGGAGGCGTGTGACCCGAGAATGGATACATGTTTATCTCCCTTTGCCAAGTGTACAACCGGAATTTGCAAATGTGACCAATTCATATCTCCGACAATTGACGGAAGGTGCCGAGTAACAAATACCCGGTTTGTCGGAGAAAGTTGTCGAGGGACTGAAGAATGTGAATATCCGGGCGTTTGTGTGAATGGGAAATGCGCATGCGTCGAACCACAAAGGGAGCTCACTCAACAAGAATTTTGGATTGATCCTTCTTTGACTATTCAGTGTAGACCAAGAGACTATTCCACATGTAAGGAAAATAGAACATCTCAATGATGAATGAATGAATGAATGAATGAATGAATGATTGAATGAATCAATGAATGAATGAATGAATGAATGAATGAGCGCACACGATAAGCATGGTGTTATTGAATCAATGGATAAATGAACAAATGATTAAAGTATAAATAAATTAATTGACAGAGAACAAAGAAAGATATTAATAAAATTTGAAAGAAACATGCCAACATATGATTGAGCAACAAAAATAATAAAACAATTTCAAAATAGTTTTCAGCAGTTTACATCATAAGAATATAAATTTGGATGCTATGAATTACTGTTTGCTATAATTGTTTGATCTACAGATAATTCTTAAACCATACAAAGTATAAACATGTACAAGTGAAGTTGCATCTATTTATTTCAAGGGCGATGTAATGGAACAGCCATCAATATACCAAAACAGTTCCATGCAGATATTCCTATAGATATTGAAATAGAATTAACATGTGAGTACCACTATTTCATACAACACATTTTTCACATTCCATAAAATCGGCATTACGGAAAGCGCCATATTGATATTTTTTTATATTTTGACGTCACAGTGGAAAATACGTGACACGTGAAATCACGTGACACCAAGGAGCTAAATATAGATTTTGCATGGAAGCGAGAGGAATTCGGATTTATTACATTATCCGAACTTTACTCGAAATTCACCGATTAATAATAGATCAAAGTGAAGTAAGCATTAGTAAAGATTAGATTTTTTATTACAAAATACACGTTTGCAATATATACGGGAGTATAGCATATATCATGGTTCATTACGGTATAAATGAGCAAACATTAATTACAAAATGGGCATTTATTTTAATGAATTAATTTATTACATTCAATAAATTCAAGAGTTTATTGTTTTTTTCTTCTTTCATTCAATATCTTTTATAGAACGAAGTGAAGTTAGCCAGTGTCAAATATTTACAACATTGGGTTTATTCCGGTTTAAATTATGAAAAGTTAATTACCAAATGTGCCTTCATTTTATTGAACAAATTCATTTATTAACAAGTTTAATTCTTTTATTCAGTCATTTATCCTTAATCAAAATGTGTCATAAAACGTATTTTAATATGTAGACATATAGAGTTTAAATGCTTTTTTGTAGACAAGAAAGAACACAAGGGACAAGACCACGATGATCATGTTGAAGTGAATCCTACCATAGTTGTCGATGAGCCAAAAGAAGGTAAGACTTAAAATTCGCGTGCGAATATTCGTAAAACGTTATCAAAAAGTACGGTAGCTGATTTAGGTCATCTACCGGTTTTACGTACATTGTATCAGGGTGAAATGGAAATAGTATAAGGGGAAAACACGACACAGTTTTCGTACCCCTCAACACAAACAAGAACAACAACATCAGCATCAAACAAAAGCTCAAGAAGCTGTTAAACTTGAAAGCGCAAACTGCCTAGTATATTGATTATTCATTACTGTTGTCCAGATGTAACGTGTTTTGTTTGCTTTATTTGACCTTTTTTCATTTTTAGTTAACATATAGACAAATCTTAAAGCATTTTAAATTAAGGCATATATGTTTCAAATGAGTATTGTGTATAGGGCTATTAGCAAAATCTATTTATAAAGCTAATAACAGTTGATACTTAAGGTTGTCAGTGTTTTTAATATCAAATATTGTTACAACTTTGCCACTTTGAAAAGTAATGAATTTAAAAGAAATAAAGTACATATTAATTTAAAAACTGGACTAACTAGTCGACCCGCAGTAAATAATTATTCCTATTAACAGTTAACTTAAGGACTAGGTGACAAGCTCAACCGAAACTATTTATATGCAAGTTTGAACCAAAATATTAAGATGAATATTTTAAGGAAACAAAGTAACTGTTGTTTATACTATAAATCCTAAAATGATATAAATTTTAATTAGCTTGTTTTGTCTCACATAAATAAGTATTAAAGGTCCATTGAAAGTCAATCTTATTACCTATTATTATATATTTTAGGCTCAATTTATCATCATAAAATATTAAATGAAAATAAAAATGCAAAAAAATATCACAGATCTGTCATAAAAATGTTTTAATGAAGGACTGACCCACTTAGATATACATTTGTTAACAGTTTTTGACAGTTAGACCATTAGAAATTCAAATATATTTGAATTATAGAATTACAAATATAGAAATACTATAAATGTTAAAGTTTTATTACACTTTTTTCTTTTATTTTTTCAAATGTGTGAACTTTTAATGTATTCATATGTATTGTCACTATATTTTGTTACAGTATTTAAAACCATTGCTGGTATATACATTTTCAAGTATGTGGTATGTTATAGATTTTAAAGAGGTTTTACATGTCACGGTTTTCACGTGGTGTTTAATTTTTCAGATGATGATTTCTACGTGCCTTTACAGATAGCGGGAATTCTGGTAGCAGCCCTTTTCGCCCTTCTTATTGCATGTATCTTCAAGACAAAAAGAAGGAAGTATGTACTATTGTATATAATACAGTGCAGTGCAGTAAATACAATACAATACAGTTCAATACTTAGTACAATAAATACAAAAAAAATACAATAACATACAATATACAATACAATACAATGCAATGTAATACAATGCAATAGGTACAACAACAACAAAATTCGATAAAATACGATACAATTCATACAATACAAAACAATACAGTCCGATACAATACAATAAATACATAATTAAATACAATTATAAATGCAATACAATATAATATAATTTAATACAATTACAATAGATATGCAATACGATGAATATACAATAAATTAACAATACAATACAAGAAAAGAACAATTAATTAACAATACAATACAAGAAAAGAAAGTAACCAGTCAAACGTAATACATTACAATACAAATACCAAACAATGAAATACAAATACAATAGATATACAATGCGATAAATAAATGTTTATTTTTTTAATCATCAATATAAATCATTAAAACATTCTAATTTTCAGGGCAATCAAAAGAGACATTTCGTTGACAAGGACCAACATATTGGCCAATAAAACAATGGTTGAAGCCGCCGAGCAGGAGATGGTGAACAACCTACACTTGAGAATGGAGCATGCCGCACCGATGGCACAGAACAATACCCTGCCACAGACTCAAATTGGAACGATGCCACAAAACCTTAGCCCGCACAACACCATGACGATTCCCAGGCCGAACTTGGCGATTTACAATAAAAATGGTTGGCACGAGTCGTACGCTGACAAAAGTTTCTACGACAATCAGACGGATATTTACCCAGACTCGAACACGACAACCAGAAGCACTGGGCCGTTCATAGTTGACTCGCCTAAACACTCAAGAGTCCATTCAAATGGTGGGCAGTCAACAATTGGTCACAACAATCAAAATGGGGGCGTGGGTATCGTTGCGCCGTACACGGTTAACACAATGGGGAGGAGCGGTCCGTATATCGTTGACGGTCACACCAATGAGGCGTTTATTGGGCGAAGCGTTGTAGAGCAACCGGGTAGAGTGGGCGGTATTTATGCAAATGAGACGCATGAGTGGCACCCGGAATTCTTGAGTGACAACGAGCCAGATCTTGTTATGTTTTAAAAAACCTTGACAGTTTGACAATCAAAAGATGTTCAAGTGCATACATTGATTTGAATAACATGAGCGCTTTTTTCATATTTGTTGTAAATATAAACTTTTATCCACATCTCGTAAATGCACTGTATTTGGTCGCTTAAATATCTATGAGCTTAAGTTATGTGCAAATCAACAGACACATGAAATGTACAGAGACAAAATATAACGACTGTTGGGTATGAAAATCTAATTTGTAATGATTAAGGATCAATAGTGTTGTAAGTTTATCTGAAGATGAAAATATGTCCTTATTAGATCATAACCTATTTTAGCCAATGAAATCGCTTGACGGTATTTCAAAATTTAAATAATTCTTATCTTATCCAATTTTCGCGATCTTTAAGCTCCGCCTACAACCATAACCTTATTATTTGCATGTTTTGTACAGATTTCACATTTTTTAAATAAAATGTGATACAGAATCATTATTTTCACAGTGATATATTTTCTTGTATATGTAATAGAATGATACCTATTCGCAACTAGATTGCTTAAAACGGAGTATAAAGTTGGCAGGAACCAACAAAGAAATGTAATGTGACAGCCAAACGGAAATAAATTTAATACTAGCAACAAGTCCTTGAAGAAAAGCATTTCACATTGCTACGTGATATGTTTGATATCGTGTAGCCTCCATTTTCAAGTCACTTGCCGTTTTCTATGATCACGTGTCGGCAGTGATTTGAGTGTAGCCAATCAAATTAACTGTAAGGAGTTGGCTGGTCAAAATTGTAGGATCTGTTCACTGATGAAAATGTTCGATCGCTCGTCCTCCTGCACAAGTAAAATATTATTTCTGTTTAATTGTATTTAATATGTTTTATTTTTATGTTATAGTATTGATTGATTGAGTAAATATGTTTCTTATTATGATGTAATGAATTTGTGTAACAATTAAAACACTTTGTATTATTTATGTAGCTAGTTTTTCTTAATGTTTTAATATGTTTAATAGTTACGTCAGAATACGAGGAATGATTTAAAATGAACCGGACTTTGTAGATGATTCTTTACCTGTTAAAAGCATAAACATAAGTAAGTGATGCCGGACGGGTTCCATTACTCATTGGCGGAGCAATTGTACTATGCCCCCCGTCATCCGCCTCCCCAACCCCATAAAAATGCATTTTAGGATTGTTACCATGATGCCTTACATGTTCTTCAGTGCCTAATTAATTTTGTTTATAATTCTAGTTTAAGTTTTGAACTTATTTAATGAGGTTTAGTAGTTGTCACGTATGCGTCATTTAATTGTTGCTCATTAACATATCATATAATAATGCGCTATTTGTATGAACGCTTGCTTACCATTTTCAAATCATGACTTAAAGGCAGGGCGCTTTTATTTTATGGAAGATGCCTGAACGGACGACACTTTTGCAATTTGAGGATCGTCTGTTTAACCATCTCAATCCTGTCGTCTGCCTAACTGTCGCAAAGTTATCTTAATTGAATATTTGGCAATTTTTATGAAATCGATAAATATGATAGAATAAATAAATAAATAAATGAATGAATGAATGAATGAATGAATGAACGAACGAACGAACGAACGAACGAACGAACGAACGAACGAACGAACGAACGAACGAACGAACGAACGAACGAACGAATGAAATAATGAATCAATCAATCAATCAATCAATCAATCAATCAATCAATCAATCAATCAATCAATCAAATGAAATGAATGAATGAATGAATGAATGAATGAATGAATGAATAAATAAATAAATAAATAAATGAATGAATAAACAAATAAATAAATAAATAGTCAAAGGTTGATAGTCATTCAAAATGCTTAGTGCCAAACAAGACAGAGGTACTGGTTAAGACAATTTTGACCTCTCTCAACATGCTGACAAATGCATTGTTGATATTTACACTTACTAGATAGAAATTGCTTTCAATCCTGAACTTCGGGATAATGATGGATAGGTGCGGGTCAAATCTTAGTTTTTAGAGAAAATAAAGTATTAATCTTTTAAAGGAATAATTTTTTAACTTGCAAATGAATGTTATAATTAACACTCTTATTTAAATGAAAAAAGTCCCGGCATGGTTCATGTGGAGAAAAATATCATACAGGGTAAATGTGGGTCTTTAAACATTTTATAACGTTATGAATAGACGCAAATAGGCGTTCTATAGTCATTTATTCAAAATGGCTGTTGACCCCCTTCCCCCTTGAAATCTTTATTCGATTAACTAATAAATAAAAGCTGAAGGCAATTAGATTTTACCTTTTACTGTAAAACTGAGTGGTGATTGTGATTGTTTGACATTCATATAAAAATGTTGATCATCGTTTGTAAGGTATTATAAAATATTACCATGTATTGCACTGGGATTATATAACCGAGAGTTTCATAAAGGCGATATCGTGTTTTATTTGATTGAAAAATGATGTTGAAGTCAAACGTTTGCGTAATGGTTTCCGCTCGTTATGAATTCATTTATATTTAATTAGTTTTGTACATAAGTGAAGCATTAGCCTATAAAAATCGAATTTCTTATACTTAAAATATTAACTATCTTGTGCTATTAGAAGAAGTTTAAGACTTATGTTGTTAATTCCTGAAAGACAATTCGCCTTTCTTACGTTATTCATATTATTGAGGTTGTATGGGGAAATATTAATTTGAGCCGCGTCACGACAAAACCAACATAGTGCGTTTGCGACCAGCATGAATCCTGATCAGACTGCGCGGATTCGCTGTCAGTTTCTCCACTTGTAATAGAGTTGGTAAGCGAACAGCATGGATCCTGATCAGACTGCGCGGATTCGCTGTCAGTTTCTCCACTTGTTATAGAGTTGGTAAGCGAACAGCATGGATCCTGATCAGACTGCGCGGATTCGCTGTCAGTTTCTCCACTTGTTATAGAGTTGGTAAGCGAACAGCATGGATCCTGATCAGACTGTGCGGTAGTCTGGAGTTCCTTCCCCTTATACTACGTTATACTTTCCGTAGTAAATGTAGGCAGGGAACCAGACTAACTGTGCGGATGCGCAGGCTGGTCTGGATCCATGCTGGTCGCAAACCAACTATGTTGATTTTGTCAGGACACGGCACATTTATTGATAAAATACCTGCATGACGTCATCCTAAGTTTATTAAATGACGTCTCTGGTGGTGCTATATTTACTAACAGGCTTCAGATATACAATGAACTATTCTGATGTGTTTGGCCTACTTTTTCAACTGATGAGGATACCTTAAAGGTTTGTTTGTTTGTATCATTTTACGCCTTTTCCCGACAGTATTTCAGTCATATAGGCGGGTAGTTTCCTTACCATCCTTCCAGGAGAGTTACACCAGTACTAGACTACCATCCTCCGCGCTTAACTACCAAAGCATTTTCCGGGGATCGAACCCACGCCAGAGAGGTAACTGGATTAGAAGTCATCAGACTCTAACCTCTCGACCACGGAGGCGGTAGGACACTCAGGCAAATTAATGACACAAATATTAAAATTTAGGACACTCAGGCAAATTAATGACACAAATATTAAAATTATCTTATGGACTCAAATCACGCTAAAATGTCAACATAAATTTCTGTATAAATTCTATACTAAGTATATGATGGGTTTGAAACGTAAATATATCTATATATATGTTGAACGAAATTAAGACGCCGACAGAATCACAAGTCATGTGACTTGGACAAACCCTGAAAGTTACAATAACATGTATTGTGGATATTATATGATTAAAACAAGTCTAAGTAAATCATTTAACGTTTTCAGATTCCCTGTGACAACTTTTGTGAACTCTTGACGTTAGGAAACCACCATTTAGTTCTTTATAAGGAGAACAGTTTTGTTCCTGCGACTGCCTAGTGTATTAATTTTGAGGACATTTACGGAATAATGAATGAAAAAATGAAAATTTTGCCTGTGTCTCCCTTTAATTTAAAATTCTGCCAGTCCTTAAATTACCTTTCCTTCCCTTGAGCAATATAATTTTATATTTACAATTTATTTATACGTCATGCCAATCTAAATGAACGCCATGCCTGCCTACGAAAACAAGCTAAAAGATTTAAAGGCTCATAATGCCCTAGAAAAACATTTATTTCATTTGCAATAACTTATACTTTCTACTTTTGGTGAACTTTTGTAGTTCAATGGACAATAAAACAATAACCAAAATAAATAAATTTATCGTCTGTTACTTTGCTAAACAATTGTCCGTTTCTGAGGTTTTATGTGCCTTTTATGCCTTTTATGTACGATAAAATCGTCGTCTTAGTGCAGTAACGGGTTCCAATTAAATTCAATGGGAGCCTTAATTCACTAACGTAACTAAATCTGTTTTGCAAACAACCGTTGAATACTTTTTTAATAAGGAAATGATTTCCGCATCAGAATGTTTTTATATGCAACTGAACTTCACAAAGAGTCTTTCATGTAAAAAAGCGACACTGTTCATTGCACTATAAAGACAGTAGGTGAAATATAATTAAATAAATTAACATACTAAAACGCTTATTATAAAATTCATTATAAATGCATTACCTCTTTAGTGAAAAAAAATTATGTAAACGCCTATTTCAGGAATGAAAAGCCGACTCGATAAAGTTTAACAAGCTGAATAAAACATAGAAACAATAAAAGAAATGTATGGAATGTATTCCCATGTCATAATCAAGAAGCCTAAAAGCAATTTCCTCGCTAAAGCAAGGTTATATCTCGTCCTATTCCGGTCACTGTTTTATTTACGGTACACTTGGCAATTAAAATACATAATTAGTTTAATTACATAATATTTAATCAAACTGTATAGAAAGAAATTATAAATACAAAAAACTCGTGCACGCTGATTGTGGATAAAAAAGTGCAATAAATGTGTCCGAGGTATTCCAATTAAAGTATCAATAAATGACAAAAGTCCGTCAACGACAGTGTTAAATTATTTACAATACAAACTCATGTTCCGCTTTACATAAAAGAGAGCACAACGACACGAATACATCACTTTCTTGTCTATAAAGATTCATGTTTTATTCATGATAACAATCAACACATACGCCGATTGTGTCAGACGTGGTGTAGTATTTGAATGCATCTATATGCTAATTATTTGAACTTTTCGTGGCGTGGACGAAATAAAATTTGTCGTTAAAGCAATCTGTTTATAAATCAAGGTGACAAAAAAAAAATAGAACATCTTTCAATCACACCTTATCTTTGTAACTTTTAGAAGGACTGAAAAATTGGGACTTGAACACAAGAAAGTTTAACCAGGCAACCTTACGTCCTATATAATGTCATTTAACGAATCATACGAGGCGTTTGTAAGTAATTACATCTCACTTTTTCACGTTATGTCGTTCTTCAAAATTGTTATCAAAAGACTCGTACTGGCTAGTCAGAATACGTGTGACCAAAGGCTTTATGTGTATTTATCAGCGACAGGACTGCTCCTCAAAAGAAACAACATATTACGTCAAGGTAAACTTGGCATGTGACTTATAACACTTTTTTGTGTGATGCACTTCTACCGTACTTATTTACTTATTTTTAGAATCATGATGAAATTAATCTAAACACGCTATTCCGGACTATATTTAACCCTCCCCACCGTGCGACACATGACTCTACCATCCTGCTCCGAAAAGAGACACATGGCTTCAAATTATTATTGACACGTGACTTCAACACTTTTTTGTGTGATGCACTTCTAACGTACTTATTTATTCATCTATTTTTAGCATCATCACCAAATTAATCTAAACACGCTCTTCCGGACTACATTTTGGCGCAATGATATGAACGCCGCTTTAACAAGCAGACTGACAAGCAATGATTGGTTTATGACTTAAAATCATGAATATTTGAATATATCAAAGTAGTTTCAATATTTTACAACACAAACTTGTTGTGATGGCCGTAACAGCATTCATTCTTTCGTCATCTCTTATTTTTCGGGTAAGTGTGTTGCTTTATTATTTTTTGTCAATATGTTCTAACATTTTTTGCATCTAAAGATTTCCGATGATCAAATGTGACAAAAATGGTTATTTTTTTATCTTAAATGAAGACTGTTATGATTTAATATGTGAGTTCTCATATGGTTCTCATATTTTTTCAGTGAATTTCAAATGCAGTATTTTTGTAGGAAACTTGACAGATGACATGACAAGGAGCATAATTCTGCCATTTATCTAAAATTAATTATCTCTTTACAATTATTTTGAATATTGGATTTAAACTTTTTGAATTCTGGCAATATATACCTTTTATCATATGAATTAACAATTCAACAGTTATATGTCCAGTCTGACTTGTAAGATGTACATATTGGCTTGGTTCTGACTTGCTGGATGTACATACTGACCTGGTTTTGACTTGCTGCATGTACATACTTGCCTGGCTCTGACTTGCTGGATTTACATATTGGCCTGGTTCTGATATACTGGATGTAAATAATGACCTGATTCTGACTTGCTGGATGTACATATTGACCTGGTTCTAACTTGCTGGAAGTACATACTGGCCTTGTTCTGACTTACCAAATGTACAAACTGACCTGGTTCTGACTTGCTGGATTTACATATTGACCTGGTTCTGACTTGCTGGATGTACATACTTGCATGGTTCTGACTTGCTGCATTTACATATTGGCCTGGTTCTGATATACTGGATGTATATACTGGCCTGGTTCTGACTTGCTGCATTTACATATTGGCCTAGTTCTGATATACTGGATGTATAAACTGGCTTGTTTTGACTTGCTGGATTTACATACTTGCCTTGTTCTCACTTGCTGCATTTACATATTGGCCTGGTTCTGACTTGCTGGATGTACATACTTGCATGGTTCTGACTTGCTGCATTTACATATTGGCCTGGTTCTGATATACTGGATGTATATACTGGCCTGGTTCTGACTTGCTGCATTTACATATTGGCCTAGTTCTGATATACTGGATGTATAAACTGGCTTGTTTTGACTTGCTGGATGTACAAAGTGGCCTGGTTCTGACTTTCTGGATGTACAAACTGTCCTGGTTCTTTCTTGCTGGATGTACATACTGACCTGGTTCTGACTTGCTGGATGTACATACTGACCTGGTTCTGACTTGCTGGATGTACAAACTGACCTGGTTCTGACTTGCTGGATGTACATACTGACCTAGTTCTCTTGCTGGATGTATATACTGGCCTGGTTCTGACTTGCTGGATTTACTTATTGGCCTGGTTCTGACTTGCCGGATGTACATACTGACCTAGTTCTCTTGCTGGATGTACATACTGGCCTGGTTCTGACTTGCTGGATTTACTTATTGGCCTGGTTCTGACTTGCCGGATGTACACATTGGCCCGATTCTGACTTGCTGGATGCACATATTGGCCTGGTTCTGACTTGCTGGATGTACATACAAGTCTGGCTACTAGCCTAGTTTTGACTTGGTGTACGCACACATTGGCCTGAAACATTGAAATAAAAAAATAATGTTTGTTTGTATCGAAAACTAGTAACAGTAAATATCATAGCTACAATATTACCAATCTTTTTTATATTTTAGGAAATGACGTCAATGACGTCAACGATAAAAATAACTTTTAAAGATTTTTAGAAAGAAAGAATGGTTTTTGATTAATTTAAACATCATTGCATGAAATGAGTTTACAATGTTTAGTTATTGTTTTTTGTTTGTTTGAAAGTTTTATATTCAACTTGACTAAAATGTTATGACAGTTATCATCTCATCTATTATTATGACTGAGATAAATCATTTTTATTTTGACATTCTTATAACTAATTTCAATATTTCAGTACTTCAGTACAATAATTGTTGGTTAGGTAAATACTTATATTCAAGCTGGTCCAAAGTTAAACGTAATGTCTCGTATAAATTTATGTTATATATTTTTTTAATTAATGCTTGTTAAAAGTCACCAAGTAAATACCAGAAAGATCTTAAGTATATCAAAAGAGCATTGGATTTATTTGACTATTAGTCAACAAGTTTAAAGGCCTTAAAAGCCGCAAAAATGCTTTCATTTTCTATTTCTCATATTTTTTATTTCATTTTTATTTCATTTTATTTCATTTTTTATTTTATTTTTATTTCATTATTTTATTTCGGATGTCGTGTTATTGTTTCCAAACAGTTATTTGGCAAATAATCTTACTAATTTTCATTTACCTTTTGGCAATACATACAGTTACAGTGATTTCGTATATTATGTTTGGAATTTAAAATACTTGATTTGTTTAAATTCTGCTGCTTTTGTGACAAATCATTTCACATTCAGCGAAAAAATAATTACAACCCAGAAAATAGACAACAAGAAGCTTCCTTTATGCTCTACGAATAACAACAGCAACAACAACAACAACTATAACAACAACAACAACAACTACAACTATAACTATAACAACAGCAACAACAACAACAACAAACTCATTAACAAAGAAAATAAAAAAATTAAAAACTTAAATATTTATATAATACATTGATTCTTTTTTTACTATAGGTTATCATACTATGGATAGCTATCACAGACTTTTTGCCGAGAGTGTCAGGGCACCGAGAAACAGTAAACTCGAGGTAAATCAAAATTTAATCTTAGTTCAAATATGATATGACTTGGCTTTTAGATTATCATATCTATCTAAGCGTGATTATAAGTAGTTGGATTAAAAGAAATTAGGTAATGAAACCTTTTACAAATTATGCCTGGACCTTTGAAATGAAAACACATTTTACTGAAGATTTAAAGCTGACTGAACATACAAATATATCTATTGGTCTTTTCAGCTATCTTGTACTAAGAATTATAATTAAGTAATTATAAAACTTTATTCTTGAGATAAAACACTATTGTTTCTTGTTTTCCTCAGAATGCACAACTTTATGGGACCAACTGTTACTTCTCGGCAACGGATGTTTACAAGTGACACAGACGCTGGCACAATTAATAAAAGCCTCCCACAAAGTAGGTTGTTCCAATCACATCCCCAGGGTTGGCAACCAAATATAGGTGACCTTTTTCAGAACCAAGCAACTCCCTCTGAGTCGGGAAAACAATTTTTTAAAACATGGACATCATCAGATTCTAAACAAGACAAAAATGTCGGTAGCAGTCTTTCAAGAGATGAGTTCCTGCAATCAAAACTACTAAATAACAGAGTATCAGGCTTTCAATCGTGGTCGTCAAAACCAACGTTCATCAATAGCGGAAAATTTTCAGTAACAGATAAATTAGGCAATGAAGATAACAATGCCACTACCAATGCAATGATGAAGAAATTTTTCCAACAGTTTCAGTCTATCAACAATATCAACAATATGTCAAATGATGGAACAGTTGAATTCCGTACATGGTCATCAGGTCAATCACCATCAATGAAGAGCGGTGATTCAATACCTACTCCAGTGTTTTATAAATTCAGAGAAAATGGAAACGATTCAAAACATAACAACAAGCAACCAGAACCCATTTCTTTGAACGGAAATATCGACATCTTACCTTTTCAAAATCTGCAACAAAAAGAAAATATGGGAGTGGAAAGACTCCAACCTTTTCCTAACGTTGGACACACCATAAACCCAAGGTCATTTACAAAACCATCTGAAACTTTTCAGACCATGTTTGAAAGATTAATGCTACCTTCAGCTGTACCTTTTTCAAGTGAACATTTTATCAACATGCCGGAAAGTATTAAAAAGCGCATTGAAGCAAGACGTGCTCTGCAGGCTAAAAATGCTAATAAAGCAGAAAGAGAAAAGGGAACTAAAATTGATCGGTTATTTAAAAAACTTCCTCTGTCGGATTTCAAAAGAGATCATTTAAAGGTTTCCAGTCACGAAATTCAAAAAAGACTAAAACAAATTGTAGCAGACTGGGTCTCAAACCAAACTGATTCTCGTAAACAAAATGAATCGAAAGTACAACAAACTGGAGGTAAGACAGATCTTTCAAAAGTCAACGTTTATAATCAAACTGATCAAATTGTTAATGATAAGAACAACAAGTCTTATTTGGATAAAGTACATGTTATCGAAACACGCTCTCCTTTGACAACACAGACACCAGCGGTAAGTACTTCAAATCAACCAGAAGGCACGCTTAATAACAATCAAAGATACGTTGAATTAGTTATTGATTCAAATAAAACAGCACCAAAACATATGCCACAAATTACTTTACCTGTTGAAGATGCTGGTAGAAAACATTTTAAGAAACAAGTTCAAGACAAACTTTCTACTGTTAGTGTAAAACGTTTTCAAACATCTAAATCAGGCTCGAATATGGAACCTTCATCTAACGAAAGGTTATATATAAGTTTACGTAATGGATTACTTAATGATGGGGTGTTTAAAAGAAATGAAACAAAATATTTGCCCGATTTGAAAAGTGGCGTAGCTGAAAATAATCGTTCTGGAAAACATATCAATGGCACAAAATCTTTAGTTTTACAACTGACAAACGAAACAGTGTCAATTAAACACAATGAAAGTTTTTTGATATCGCCTGACAATAGTAACATAAGTATTCCTCTTCAGATTCCAAAATCATTTAATACAAAGGCAGCACATATTGTGGATACAACAGGAAATATTGGCAAAAAAGCACCTTTTACAACTTCTAGATATTTTGTAACCCAGTCAAATGTGAATGTTGATATAAATACAGAACAAAACCGTTTTACAACACAGCCGTTCTCTCCTCATACAAGTGCGGCGTCATCTGTTGTTTCCAAAACTACAGGGAAAGAACAGAAAAACAATTTTTCAAGAGATCAGTACAGTGCAGTAACACAGCAACATATTGCAAAGCAAAACAAATCTAAAGATATGTATATGTCACATATGCAAGAAACTACGACGCAAAGTAAAATTATAACAGCAGAACCGAAAACGGAAAGCCTTAAGACAATAGCAGATAACAAATTGTCATCGCACTTGAATATGGAATCAAAAGAAAATATGACAGGAAATCAAAACGTTACCTCGCCAACTTTTATTAAAGATAATCCTAGTGTTACGACAAAGTCTACCCCAGAAAAGGGTGTAGCAATGGGTTTTGAAATGACTAATAATGATGTCTTATTATCAAAAAGTGTTGGTGTTAACATGTCCTTATCAAAAATATCGCATACAGTACCAACAATAAACGCTATAAGAACGTCAGAAATGTATCAAAAATCTAAATTGAGTACCAATTCACCACTACAAACAACAGGAGAAAACAGTCAATATTTTTCTGTGCAAGCAAACGACTATAATACTAAGCTTCCGACAGAACCTACTCACAACCCTCACATGTCGGCAGAACCCATTTTGGAAGCAACAAGCTTGTCTAATATTAACAACAAATCAAATGATAGCTTCTTGTTTGACTTAAAAGCCAACGAAAACATCGATAAAACGACAAATCAAAGACAAACAATACAAAATAAGTTAACATCTACTGAGGCAATCCAGGTTGTAAAAGTATTGAAGTTTCCAGTCAATGGCAACTTTGTTAATATAAACACTGGACAAGTTGTTTTAAAAACAACAGACATTCCTTTATTTAAAAATGTTGTGAGAGAAAATATAAACGAACATGTATCTTTAGGAGCTGCAAATGTTAAATCTGCAACCATTGATGCATATAAAACGACTCTCGCTTATCACCAAAGTGCAAATCCTTTGACACAAGCTGGCAACGAGAAAATCAAGTTTACTCAAGAAGATGTAGAAGTCCCTACAGATAGAGATTTCGTATATTCAAGCATGACAACAACAGAAAGTGTATATCCCATAAAATCGAAATCGCCCATAACTTTTATTGCTAGTCAAGATGATCAGAAAATTGGAAGTAACACACACATCACTTCAAATGTATCGGAAATCACTAAAAGTAATAAAGCAGAGGTAACAGATACACCATCAACCAGTAGAATGAATGCATATAGTTCAACACCGAGTGTGACAGAGTACCAATCTACAAGCGGTACAGATACACATAGTTCTCATATTACTAAACATATTCAAACGAAAGGCAGGATTATTTCTGAAGATAGTTCTAGCACGACACGGCAAGTAAAAACAGATGTTACTTACGAAGCACAAATTAGCTTAATATCTCAATCTGCTGAAAGTCAAGGAAAGAAGAAGGCATCTCAAATTACAAAACCATACAAACCCTTACAGCATACCACAGCGCAACCGATTATAACAACTGATTTGCCAAAAACAATTAACGTTAAACAAAACACAAAAGGACATAATGATTATCGTCAAAGTCTAGGGACGCACAGTGAAAGTATTAAAATGATAGGTGTAACAAAATCCTTATCTAGAGCTTTAGCCCAGCAAACCGATATACTTTATAAAAATAGTAATGGCATGAAAAGCAAGTCAGTGCAATTCCAAAGAATCTCTACTAGACCGAAAACTCTACTACCTAGGCTTGTAACAGAAAGTCCGTCTGAAATATTGCCAGTTGTAAAGGAAGATCATTTAAAACGTGCACACATGGAGGGTGTCAATGGGATAACGCATAAATCACAACAAATAATAAAAAGAACATTAGGACCTAAAGAATATTATTATACGACAACCCCATTTGTTGGGCAATCATCTAAAATCATAACAAGTAACAAACCAGATATAATGAACATTACAACTAGAATAAATGGAAAACAAGAAAATAGAGAAAATAGGAAGGTTAAAACAAAGAAAGAGAAAAAAGTGTCTGAACGTAAAACTGATGTTACACCAAGGATGACGAAAGCTAAAAGTAATGGAAAACAAGTCGTAGCTAAAGTAACTGCAAGTTCTAAACAACCAGAATCGCATCATGAAACAACAGAAAGAAAAATAGTTAAAGATGTTCTAACTACTATAAGACCAGAAATAAAGCAATTAAAATATTTCACAAGGTCTGAGGTAACAAGAATACATCGGAATGATCCCCACCCCTTTTCAAGCAACACACTTTTAAAAGACGAACACACAAAAAATACTAGAAACATAAATGCGATCTCTCCCAAAACTGATAAATCTTTAAGAAAAACAAACAATCAAAAGGTACCATATGATGTGTTAGTAGATAAAGTCAAAGAAAGAAACACAAAGTTATTACAAAATAATCTTAAGGCCAATATTTTGCAGCATAACATTGGAAATAATAGTGGTGTCAAAATATCTTTATTTCCACTTTTTAAAGAACCTTCTGAGCACAACAAAATAAAGATTGATCAAATTACTCAAAAGTCTAAAGTTATTTCGTACGACCCTCAGCGGCCAGTGCTACCGGGAAATGCTGGTCCAATGCAGAAATCTAAAAGGATGAACAAATTTTCAACGTTTGACAGGGTGGCAGGTAGTAGGAAATGGAAACCTAGACGAAACAAATTTGAAGAATTGCTTCTTGAACTAACAAGAAAACGGAATGCTCGTGTAACTCCAAAACCTAAATTACAGATGTCGGATAAAAAGGTACAAAGACAAAAGCCTAAGTATAGTTCAGTTTCTAGTTTCCACGACAATAAAAATGCTATGTCAGTGACCAATATCATGAAGAAAATGAAAGGTATGCAAATTAACACTAAGCCTGAAATACGTAGATCTAAGTTAGACAACCCAATTGAGCGCGGTAATTTTGATATTTCATCATCAACACGTAACAAAAACGACCAGAATAGAATTGGGATTCAAAGGGACACTAAGCCAGGAATAGGTTCTACTAAACAACTGGAACAACTTCTTGCTGAAAACACAGGCAATTCTTTTCAGCTTTTCAGTTTGCCAAAATACACTCGTAAACAGGAATCAAAACCAGCCAACGGAGTGTATCTTCAACCTCACAGCAAAACAAGCCCCGTGTCAATTCTTGATTTGTTACACAATGGTATCACGAAAATAAAAACAAAAAAGAACCTGGAACCAGTATTACCAAAGCTAGCTGGACGTGTTTTTAAGAATAACATTCTAAATAAGTCTCCATTGAAAACTTCCACTGAGCCATCGAATCCACTTTTGAAGCAAAGATTGCCGCAAAGAGATCCGTCTCCTGAAATTAAACCAGTTTGGCTTCAAAATGTTTTACAACCCAGTGGAGTCAAACACAATGTAATTGGATATATGCAAAATGAAGTAGGGCAGAATGAGAAACGTTCGATGGGTATTGGTAAACCTCGGGAGTTTAAGAAAGAAATTAAGGATCAAATCAATGAGAATAAACCAGTGAATAGTGAGACCAAAAGTGGTATAAATATACTAAATAGTTTACTCTCAGGTCAAGTGAAACGTGATGGACAAGTTCAATTGTTCAATATTGCGCCACCTTCTTCCTATACAAAAGTTTCAAAAATGTTGTTTGATCCCAGCATTATTCCGAAGAACACACCAAACAATCCATTCAAACCATTAAATGTTGACCGAATATCTCATAGGAAATCATATTTGGATGCAGCTAATTTAAATAAAGGAAATAATGTGAATCGGCAACAAAATTCTAAAAGCAACATAAACAACAAGGAAAGGACTTTTCATTTGACACCATCTCATGTTAAAAAGGAAAACGTGTTGACAAGTAATCCGGATAAACATGAAAGTAGAAATATGGTAATACGGAGATGGTTGGACAAATTTAAAAGTGAGTCTACACAAAACCCGATTCCAAAAACCCAAATTAGTAAACAAAGCTTGGAAAGCAGAACGTCGCGACCAAATCAAGATGTAAGATTCAGAGGAATAAAACCAAAGAGAATTAACCTTTTTAATAGTTTTGAAAGTTCACCAGTGTTTACTCCAGTAGCACGTGATAAGACATCTATTTATAGAGATGAACCTAAACAAAATGCCTTACACAGGGAACGCTCAGCATTTAAAACTCGTAAGAATAAACAGTTTATGACTGAATATAGACCAAACGATGAAATTCCAAAGAAACCAACATATCAACACAAACAAGTTGCAGCCTCGAAACCAAAGGTAATAAACCTATGGGACATCAGTTCACCGATATTTGGGAATGCACTGCTTGAACAGATTTCGGCGGTCGACAATAGAGAGCAGAACAGCGTACCTATTATCAATCATAAGGTTACTGATAGTGTTGGAAACAGAAAAGAAACAAATAAAAAGAAAGACATACACAAAAAATTGGCCCCATTCAACGGGTCTATCAAAAAGCTTTTATTTCCAAAGCAATTCGTTTTTTGAAGAGTGAATCATTTAAAGTTGACGCGTGACTGTTATCCTAAATTTCTTACATCTAACAACAAAATGTATTTCACTCTCAAAATGTAAATATATACGTACGAAATATATTTGACTCGCTAAGACTTTGGATCTATATCCAAATATTATAAGTCAATGAATACAGTGTTAATAATTGTCAAAGACACTTTAACCAGCTTGAAGCAATAGATCTAATAAAAATGCTCAAAACCGAGATACTTACTCAATACCTTATCATCTATTTCAATTCTGATTGTGTGATATTAAACGCTTCTTGTGATATATAATACACTGCTTGAAGCGTCTGTTGTGGTGAACACTCCTAGGAAAATGTTTCTTCACCTATTCAATCTCTCGTTTTATCATAAATATATTGTGCGAGAAATTAAAACAAATAGGTGATGATAGACAGAGTAACACTGTGTCAGCACAAAGCCCATACCCCAGCATTCTCTTGGACGTGTTGTCAATCAAACACTTAAACCAGCGATCCGGAAAGGCAAGGGAAAGGCATAGATAAAATTAAACTTGCGATTTTTGTCAGATGCATCAGTACAATTAACAACCTAAGTCAACAACAAATCGAGTATGGCTGTCAAATTAAAGACACCTTTGTTAATAAATGAATTGGTCATTGTCATGTTTATTTCATCATTTTTAGGAAAGACTAAATCACTTAGCACCAAAACAGATCGATTCTTGCCGTCATATCAAAGACAACCGCACATCGTTAATAAATGTATTGTTTAAGCCACAATGATGTGTATTTCATTATTTTCAGGAAATGGTTAAAAAAACGAGCTAAGCTGGATTTTAACGATCTGTATTTAGAAGTTAAAATTTAACCACTTATTTTTAATAAATATTATACCAGATACATTTTCAATATTTTTAGATTACAGTTCTCTTTGTGCATGTATGATTTTTATTGTAATTGTAAATTTATTTGAATTCGTAAAATAAATGATTTTAAAACAACGTGTTTAAGCTTATCTATAATAATGACAATGATTAACCTGTGATATAATAATAATTCAATTTTATTTATTTTTTGTTTAGTGAACACGCAATATTTCACGTTTGGCCCATATGTCGCATGTCATGGAATAGCACTAACGTGTCACATTGAAGAATCGATCATAACCGCCATATAAACACATCTGCAGATGTTTTAAAATTCAAAATATTACAAGTTCATGTTCAGTGTTGAATTCTGCTTAAGACGGTGCTAGGGGGTGTTTACTGTCACTTGTTCTTTCCAGTACTGCCCGTGAACAGGCTCAATCAACCCGCTCCTACAATATTTTGCCGTGTTTGGCTTTATTCAGACATTCTGTTTTTTCTTTCTTATATCCAGGGTTCGTTCGGTATATAGGGTAGACTATTCAATGCAAGAACGAGCACCAAAAGATAATTTCAATGCTTAACAAAGGTTCTTTATATAACGATACGCGTTGCTATCAATTAGGGCACTCATGAATACAAAGTGCACTAAGTTAACCGATAACTGATATGAGCAAACCGGATTTATTTAGTTTAAATAGGAACCATTCTATGTAAGGTAGAGAATAGATTAAAGATCCTGTATGTTGTGATCAAAGTGGTAAACCACATTAAGTAAATTTTTTTAATGTACATAATTATGCAAATAAAACAATTTTCAAACATCGTAGAATATGTAAAATATGTACTGCAAATATTTGTGCATATTATATGTAATCATTTCATTCATTTCTTATTGTAAAATATGACTAAATTTTTATAGAAAATATTTTTTATTACCCCCCCCCCCCTTATTTAAATGAAATGTTAAATTCGATAATATCTTTATAAATAATACTTTTTGGAACCTACAAGAAATAAATCTTAATTTGAGCATCATATTTATGATTGAAAACCATAAATATTTGTGTTACAGGATCTTTAATAAAAAATAACTTCAGCCCATCCTTAGAATCACCATCCAGTTTAGGTAAAAAATGCAGGTAATGTAGGAAGGTAAACTGTTATTTTATTGCACATCTCTGTATCACATGGATTTCAAAAAGTGTCAGCATTACTTGAGTTAAGAACAAACATTTCAATATACATGCCATTTTATAATTACAATAAAAGAACTTGAAACAAATATAAAAAGAAAGATGAGAATCTAATTGACTGGTTCATTGTCTATGTTAAGTAAACACAAATCTTGGTTTGGCAAGTATTTTTGTAGCAGCGATTCTTAAATGAATAAAAGTGGGCAAGAAAGGAACCAAAATATACTATTTATAAATAACAAATGCACTTATTAACTAGTATTTCGAATCTCAATTAAATGATGTTTAATAGTTCTAAATTTATTCTATCACATAAATATATAGAAAATATTACAGAAAGTATTTAAACAATAACATGCATGTGTTTACTAATAGTTTCTTCTTTCGTGGCTTATGGTAATAAAAGAAATAATATTTTTGAATAAATGAATGATCAGACAGACAATCCTCGGATTTATAACACTTTTATTGTAAATCATAATTAATATGTGAGACATTAAAATGTGGGCAATTTTAAAAGTTTAAAATACCTGTATATTGAAGCATTTGGGTTATCAATTTTTTTTTTTTTTAAAATTTACGATTTCAACTTCACAAATTTAAATTCAGAATTATAATTTGAAAATTGTAAAGAATCAAATTTTTAAAGTAAATATATAATGTTGAATTTGCTTAATTGGGTAAAACCCAACTCTTATTTTTAACAAGCTTGAAGTCGTAGGTCACAGTTTTAAAAAAACGGCATCCACGAAACCCAATTTTTAATGTTTACATCACATGTTCATAAAGTTGAAGAAGTTGTAATCGTTAATTCGAGAAGATTCATTAACAAATACATAAAATAAAAAGGTCCCTACCTGCTTGTTTGTAGACTAGTAACAGTTCTCATGCTATCGGTTTTATCCTACAGCTCAGTCCCTGTAATATCCGTCAATTTCTTAGTAATTGATCGCTTAGTTAATTAAATAAAGACCAAAACTAGACTCAGGTGCATTTTCGAATATTTCACTATAGGAATGAGTATTGACACACGTTTTCATAATATATTTCACGTTTGTTTGCAGATATAGCACAACCACTGCAGAACAACACAATATGGGATATAAAGGTTTTGGTTGTTGGTGTGAGGTTTTGCTCCAGGGAGGTTAATATGTTTTATGAAGTCTTTGTTTAAGGAAAACAATTAAATGTGGTTGTTAGGACTTAATGTTTTACAGACGGCCGCTTTGCATGGGTTGCACTGTATCATATTTTAAATTTGAAGTTTTTTGTTTTCATGGTATACAATATCATGTGAAGTTGCCAATAGGCTTTCTAGTATTATTTGTTTGGAAAAATGTTATCTAAAAACATACCTTTACTTAACATTTTCTTTGTATCCAAATGTATTTTATGACCTGATTAAGAATCATATTTAATTTGTGTTCTCATGACCACGTGACATGATAATTGTTTTGATTATATATTTGCATGGCGATGCACAATGTAGACGTCTAAAATAAAATATATTTTCTGTCCTTATAAACATATGACAACAGAACGTTAATTATTGATTACCAAAATATACTTGCAACTATTAAATACTTTTCTTTATACACGATCCATCATTGAATTAATCAGGAATACACTCCTGGTGATGGACAAAGGACGAGGCATGTTGGTTACCGCCACCATGTTTAACGTGACCACCTTTTATTGGAAATTATATATGAACTCTTGGTAGATGTCTTTCATAAAAATACACATACAATTAAAACATGCCATTTTGCATTTCTGCTACAGTAACTAAAAAATTTCATAAGATAAGTAGAGCATAGCAAATTCTATTTTACTCCTACACGGACATTTTTGACGAAGTAAATAAAGAAATATTCATGTTATTTCTTAGTCTACTTAGACTATCAATACATCAAAAAGAAACGAAAAAAGGAACCCTTTAGACATTATTGAATACTTGATAGTTTGTAATAAAAACAGATATACGGCGTCAATTATCAAGAAAAAAGACATCAGTGATCCTTATTATATACAGCGTGGTGAACCCAAGTGCATGGGGACGACGAAAAAGCAAATTGTACTTTTTAAATACCTTCGTCATATCATACAGTTTTTATGTCAGGTCTCTGATACTGCATACTCATTTATTAAAATCACTTTATTCGTTCTCTCTCATTTTCCATTATGTTTATAACACGAGTCGTTGACATTGTGTACGTTTTTAAATTCAATTAAACGAAATGATTTTGGTTTGGTGTATTTAAATGCATGATGATGTGTCATATAAGGCCGTGTCTACACCTATTCAAGTTTCTTGCATGTCACATTTAGATAAGCAAAATAAATGGCCCTTTCAATATTTAATCAGGCACAATTTTTACTGAAATGTCTACTTAAGATTGCCCAGAATTGATACCTTTGTCTTTGCAATACTATCATGTTTCTGTAAAATTTGTGAATAAAAAAGCGGGAAAATGATGCAATTAGCTAAAATAATGGATTAAATGAAATTGAAATGTGCACATGCTTTAAAAAGAATGGAAAATGTGAGACAAAATATTTTTAGCTGATAAATTGATGCAAACTCTTTATTTGATGAAAGTTTTTCACTTAATGAACAAGATCATTTTAAATCAATTTTGACTACATGTACTTGAAAAACTTATTATTATTTTTTTTTTTTTTGCTCTTCTGACTGTATCATTGTATTGATCTGTTCCTCTGATCAAGATATTTTATATATTTACTAAAATTTACAGATCATGAACACTGAATCAGTAACAAAAATGTCAGAAAATAATAATAAAAAAAAACAACACTATGAGCACATGTTTTGTGTCAAACCGGTGTCATCAGTGTCTTGACAGCCAAAAACTTGTAGAAAAAAAGGACGTGTTCTAACTTTCTTGCAAGAAATTCTCTTCTTGGATGTCACAATATTTCTCTTTAAAACTTATTCAAGTAGGGTGTCTACACTATGCGATACAAGAGAATATGATACTTGCATTCAAGACTTGGATAGGTGTAGACGGGCCCTAAGAATGAAACATGTGAAATGATGTAATATTGAGCAGACATTGATGAAACTAAATTTAAATCCGACGCAGAGTTTAATGGCACCAAAATACAACAATGATAATGAAATGCTATATTGATTTAATGGTATTAAAATTCTATATCTATTTGATAGTATTAAAATGCTACTTTGATGTTTGGTGTGATAATGCTTAATCAATGAACGGTATCAAATTTCAACTTTGATTTAGGAGTATTTAAAATGCTATTTTGGTTTGATTGCATTGAAATTCAATATTGATGTAATGATAATGAAATGCTACATTGATTTAGAATTAATGAATTTTTTTTTAACGAAACATGCAATCATATAAGTGAAATGGTATTTATCATAGAAACATATTTCTATTGCAAAGTGAAAAAAATGTTATTTTATTTTTTTTAATTAGAAGCTTGCTTTTTAATGACATTGTCTCGGTAAGCCATTTACCATCTGTTACAATAACATTAAAAACTATTTTAAAGATGCCAATTATATAACAAGCTTTATATCGTTCGAGTAAGAAATGAATTTGTTTGAAAACACCTCTAGAATCAGTTTGATAGTACAAGGGAAGTCAAGAGAGAAATCCCTGGAGATCGCTCAAAACGTCGAAATAGGGATTCGTAAGGTCCTTCTATGTTAAAACTACTACTCACACCCCAAGCACTGACTAAAGCAGATTTCTACATTTATATATAAACATTGCGAAAATTAAAATCATGTGTAAAGACGTTGAACCAGCACAGGGTACTAGTATAAAAGAATGTGTGTGCGTGTGCCCCTGAAGAAGAAAACAATGTAGGCAAAACTAGATTTTATAAAATTCTGTAAAGAGGATATAATTTTTTTTATTTAATTAATTTGACTAACAGAAAAAA